TTTCAACAAAGAGTGGTGTCCCAGGGTCCAGGCAAAAAAATGCCTAGAAACCTTATTATGAGATTAGACAGTCTAAGAGATAAGTTTCAATTTTTCTTCTAACAAAAACTTATAGCATTAGGTAACACTGTGAGCAAAATAAATTGTTGCATCTTTATCTCTTCTTGCTATCTTTTTTCTTTTCCATTTTTTATTCTGTGTGTGTGCACGTGTGTGTGCGTATATTTGTAGTACTCTGTAATTTTGGCTACGTGAGAGGCCTTCTATTCAATTCTTTTCAGGTTTCTATTTCAGCTCTTCTTAAGAGCTCTGATCAGTAAAATATAATGCAGGGACCTTCTAAGGACAATAAATACTTTGAAGCAATAATATATCCTTAGGAAAATAATTCCCCCTTTTCTCCACTATGCCTTCCATGTAATGAAATAATGAGTCATGGCTATACCTGAATAATTAGTAGAAAATTTATTTTAGAAGGAACAACCTACAGAGAAGGATTTCATAGCTATATATTTATGCTGGATATTTATTTCCTTGGAGTTTAATTTGCTTGGCATTACTTTTTTCCTGTGGGTGGACCATTGTTCTTAGAAATAACTAAGAGTAGATATTTTGACGAATCTCCTCAAATCCACACTTAGTATAAAATCCTTTGTAAGTTTGCCCTTTCTGAAATTAGGGTTTGTAGGTGCTTAAAAGATGATGACAGTCAAACACATTTATCTTGCTCTCTAGAGAAAAGCTCAGATAGCACATAACATCTGCCCTACAATTAGAATACGTACCCATGGTCCCTAATTTCAATTGCATTGCTCTACCTGGTCATCCCTGAGTTTCATTTATTCAACAAATATAGTGAGTGACCCATGTATGTCAGACAGTTTGCCAAGCACTAGAAATAGAACAGTAATCAAGCAGACAAGATTGTTTGCAGGTCATAAGTCAGGGAAGGAAATAGGGGGCAGAGAAATAGAGTCTTATGAGTCAGTATAAGGCATTTGGATTCTGTTTTCATTTTGATGAAATGTAACTAGAAAGCTTTAAGCACGCAAATAAATTGACGTGGCTTATGTTTTAAGAATATCATTTTCATTGCTGAATGCAAAACAATGTCTTGGGAAGGGCTGTAGGGAAGCAGAAGGCTAGATGCCTTTCTAGACTTCTGAGTAATGTAAGCAATGCTCACCCAGCAGGATTCACAACACGTCATGTTTCCAAACATGGGCTCTTGAAACTGATTAGACGTACAAATATTGGCTCCTTGTTCACTGGCGATGTGACCTTGACAGGGTTACCTAAATACCTTATGTTACATGAACATCTCTATTTCATCTGCAATATTCCACCAATTGTTGATATGAGGATTAAATGCTGATAGATATAAAGCACTTGGAACCTTTTCTGGTACACAGAAATTTTGGTAAACACTGGCCTCAAAAATGAAAAATGTATGCATAAAGTCCATCGACTCCTTTTTGTTTTAATTGAGTGGACTTTCGGTACCTCACCACAGAGAATGCGATTTCTCTCAGCTTGATTAATATGGAGCTGCGCAGTCGTCTTGCTGAGTCAGGGAGTCTCTCCTGACTTGGCAGAGTCTGACTTTAGGGTTGGGAGAGAGCAGTCATCAGATTCTTCACCGAAGTCGGGGTTTTAGACTTCTTGATCTGACTAGGCCCTTGCTGCCCGAACCCCCGTAGAAAATCCACTTATACTATATGCATATTTAATATCAGGAATGTAAAACCAGAGACATCTCTTACAACTTTTGCTGTTAAGATATCTTTAGTATCTAAGGCTCACTTTTTCATTTAAGCCATGGCATTTTTATCATATCGCTATAGCAATGGATAGCTTATACAGTCAGCTTAGTTGCTGAATCTCACCAAGTACATCATTGTCTTTCCCCTCTAGGCTTAAAAATTATAACTGCCCCCTTATATTTGGGTACTTTAAAGGCTTAATCTAGAAATGTCATGTATAAATCTTGATTTTATTAGAAGGGGAGAAGTATGCAAGCCCAGAAAGCCCTGAAGGAATGGGCTGAATTCTATCCAAATCTGAGAATGGGCCTCCCACATGAGCCGCCGGAAGTTCAACTGGTCACCCAATTTCACATGTTGTTGACCCTCCCATGTAGCCTGGCTCTCTGCTCACTGGCTCAGATGCATTTAAAAATGATCATAGTTCGTTCTTTCCTCACATCCTGAGAGTTTGGAGAAAAGAATATCCTCTGTGGTGATAGTTGTCCTGTACATTTGAATTTGTAAGAGGTTAACTAGAGATTTTTAAATTAAATAAGGAAATTCACATTTTCTCTAAAATTAAGTAGTTGGCTATGATTTAAAATTCAATAGAAGTTGCAAAAAGAACAATTATTAACCTCATCTTATACCCAAACACTATACTATGCATTGTATATGCATACTAACATTTAATGTTAAAAAATCTTATGACTTTGCATACTCATCTTATTTCAGTTTTATATATAAAGTTAAAAGGATTGGAAAGAAAATCTAATTATCTCCCTCAGGACTCCCATGTCAGGTGACACATTTGCATTATGTCTATATTTCCCTGGCCTAAAATCCATTGGCCAAAGTTGGCTCAGGACCTTGGTGACATAAATACTATTGGATATTTATCTCTTCAGAGGTTCAAAACTCTTCCTCAGACTTAAAAATAACAGGGAAAATAACACTGACATATAAAAAAACATTGCTTATGACAAGAGTTGGTATATATTTTCTGTAGGGGCCTAGATAGTATCTAAGTCTAGGCTTTTGGGGCCATTTGGTCTCTGATGCAACAATTATTTCTCTGCCATTTAATGTGAAAGTAACCACAGGTGAAACATAAATAGGTGTGGCTATGTGCCAATAAAACTTTATTTCTAAAATTGGCTGTGTCCAGTAGACCACAGTATCCAGACCCCTGACTTAAAGAAAAGTGCAATGGATATGATTTTTATTTCTTAATTTTTTTAGAAAATCTCATTGCAATCTCCCAAAAAGTGCATTATAAATCATTGCATCTAATATCCCATGGCATGTACAACTTGGATATCTTTTCCCTAGCAAGGAAAACTCCCAGGAATGAAATCCCTCAATCTAAGGGATAAACTTGTCAATGTGAGTGAAAACTATAATTAAGATAAAAATTATCCTTCCTGGTTAGAATATCTGGCACAATCAAAATCAATTTCTCCTTTAATTCGTCATCCCAGATACACTACCATTCTAAAAACAGGTCTAACAACATTATTTCTGTGTTTACACTTTTTGCAGCTATTGCCTTCAGAATAGAGGAGTATCTTCTTACTCTGACAAACAGACCTCTTTGCAGTCCCCAGCCTCTTTGCAGTGCCCAGCCTCCCTGGGTGGCTCAGCCCATGGCACCGCCCCACCTCCCCAGTCCCATGTAGCCTGTGTCATTGTTTAACCCATCTCCATTCAGCACCCAGTTCAGGGATCTGTCCGAGTGTTATATGTGAACTGACTTCAGCTAAATTATTTTTAAACAATTCTGTTGCAACATAGAGCAACACTCTACTAGAGAGTTCCTACCTGTGGGCAAATATCATTCCATTAATATCTAACTAATACATTTTTGTGTCCTGCTTAAATGAGTATTACGATAGTTACAAGTATGTGTTACTAAGTTGAAGCAATGAAAAAGTCTAACAAAGGAAATGACAGAAGAAAAGGCTCGAGGGACTCAAACCACAGCAATAAACAGAACACAACCCAGAACAGAAGAAACGCATGCTTCCTGACTTCACAGGGAGAGTGAAAATAAAATGTTTTCTTATGAATTCTCCTTACTAATTAGGGACAAATGGGTGTGATTCTTAGAAGATGAAACCTTATTGGAAAAAAGACTTCAAGCTTTTGAATTTTGATTTCTACTTCCAGCCATGGGCACTAGCAAGCAGTAGGACCACCAACTAAGCACAGTGGGAGACAAAGGCCCCACATGCTCCCCTCCTCCTTGCATGACTTGTGGCTGGAATTGGAAATTGGAAGGGAATGCATTCCTTAATTTCAAAATTTGTGAGGTGCCATTTCCTTTAAGATTCTCACTGCTGTAGGATGCCTCTGGGATGCTCAGAGGTCATTGTTTAACCCATCAGAGGTGAGAGGTAGGGCGGAAGAGTGGGAACCTCATGAATCGATTGTCCAAGAGGCTTGGGCTTGCACAAAACTCAATTTGCTAGTTGTCCTTGAGCTGGTGAATTTCTCTTTGGCAACTCAGTGCTTTCCCTCACATAATGGCTAAACAGTGGCTACTACATATTGTAAAAACTGAATGAGCAAGTCCCTCCGTCTAGTGAGGGCTCAAGGTCTGTGTTTTACTTCATCAAGAGGTTAACTTCAAGCCTGTGCACAAACAAGGTTGTGCATTGTGAGTTAAAGTATATCTGAGTTCCAGTATCTCCTTCTTTAACTTTCTTCCATGAGGAGACGACCTTAGCTTTGCGTTGCTGCCGGCACAAGTTGGAGGGCCATCCCGGCTCTGCTGCCTGACTAATGGGGTGCTGCTGGAATAGGCACCCAGAGATCAAGCTGGTGCAGAAGGTACAATTGTGGATGAAAACAATCTGCAGACACTGAATGGGCAGCGACTGTAGAGGTGCTATCACATCCATTCCTACTCTCAGAAGAAAGGCATGATGGATTCCCAAGCTATTAGCAATATTAGTGCGACCTTGGCTCCTAATATTTGATGGTCCATGACCAGCTCTTTGTCATAGGTGACTCTGAGGCTTTTAAATTGCCTTGGGATAGCCCAACAGAGACCCAGAGAAGCTTGAATTTTCAGGAAAAGAAGAGTAGTGGCAGAATTTTTTATTGGTTACAATAAATCTGTGTTTGCTGTCTCTTCTATAAACTGAGTGCAGCAATAGTTATCATAAATTAATCAACTTCTTAAACTGTTATTTACTGAGTTCCAACAGTGTGCAAGGTCTGGAGTTATTAGACCCTGTAGGGGACAACGTGATGTTAGCTGCGGTCTCTGTCTTCAAAGAGCTTGCGTGTATTTCAGAAGGTAAAATAAAAATGTTCCCAACAGTTCTTGGTATGGCAAATATTCGAGAGCAACAATAGGCAAAGGGGCATGCAACTTCCAATACAACACTTTTCTTTTTTAAGATCTAAACAAACTTAGTGCCTCAGGCTTCTCTACATCTAGTGTACAAAGAAAAGTAAAGAGACAAAACTCACTGAAAAACACTCACACATCAACATACAGGCTGTAGGGTAGGAACAGGACAAGTTTTAGGAGGCAGGGGAAGGAGGAGCAGCGTGTGCACAGGTGGGTAACAGAGGTATCGTGAAGTACGTGATGCATCGGCTCAGGAATGGCCCCTCACCCCAGAGAGTGATTTACCATTTGTCAAACTGAAGACGGGTGGCCTGGAAGAGAGAATGCAATTAAAACACTGAACACTGACAAGAATACTATGAGTTCTATTCGGTCAACCCTGAAAAAGATGTTTTAGCTGAAACTGTAGGAAGATGAAAGGAGAGCCAGTACGTAGGAGAACTCACACAGAGTGCTGCTTAAAAGGGCAAGGGCCCCATGAACCGGGCAGGCCAGCCCACCCACCACATGGCTTGCTGGCTGGAAGCCAACTCCCTGCTCCTTTTTAGTTGGTGCTCTTAGAATATTTGGCAAAAAGTGTGTGGACATGATACCGTATGTCTCCTTACATTTGGCCACCCATGTAGTGAGGAAATTCTCCTCCAAAAAGCAGTAGAGGGCAGAGTCTCAGTCATTCACTGGTAATTCTCAGGAGAAAACTATAAACTGTGCAAACATTATCCTTCAATAAGCGGTTAGTTTACACTAAAAATATTTATTGAGAGTCTACTATGTGGGAGGCCCTGTTCTGGACCCTGGGGACATAGCACTGGAAACCGACAACATTCTCTACATTACATTCTATTTTAGGCAGATAGATGAAAAAACAAATGCAAAAATGGAAGTCTTCACTGATCAGAGGTTTAGTCTCCACTGGCCGAGTGGGAAGGAGGGTAAGGGGAGCTTAGACATTGCATGAAGCGATGTGCAATCTAAAATAGAGTAAGCTCAGAGGGTCTTGCGGAGAAGGTGATGTTTGAGGAAAGAACTGAAAGAAGGGATGGCGCTCTGAAGTGACATGTTGGTGTATTTATTCTGGATGCAGCAAGAAGGAAGAGCAGCTGAAGCGAGCAAATGATGATGTCCGTGAGTAACAGGGAGGGACTTGCAGATCCTCACAAGGAACTTCGCCTCCACTCAGTTAGATGGTAAGTCACTGGAGGATTTTAAACAAGGGAATGACATGGCATTGCTTCCATTTTGAAAGGATTACTGGCTTCTTTTGAAAAGTAGACTATGAGCTAGAGGCAAGACTAGGACAGAACAGTGAGACCATTGGTCAGGAGGTCATTGCAGTCATTGTAGTAATGCACGTGAGATGATTGTGATTTGCTCGGATGTAGCAGTGGAGGAGATGAGAAGGGGTTAGATTCTGAGTATATTTTGAAGGGAGAACTGACCAGATTTCTTGACAGATTGTGTACAGAGTGTGAGAGAGAGATCAGTGCCCTGGACCACACCGTGGTCATTGACTTGAGCAGCTATATTGATTGACAACACTGTCACTTCGCGAGGTTAGCAAGACGTTTGGGGATGAAGATCTGTAGTTTTGTTTCAGTAAATATTAAATTGGTGATGCCCATTGGACACCACAATGAAGATGCCAAATAGACAGCCGAAGTCAAGGAAACATTTCTGGGTCGTATGGTTAGGCAATCAATAGCATAGCAATGGTTTTTAACACGTGATTTATTGAGATCTCCAAGGTAATAAGTATAGACAGAAAAGAGAGTAAGCTCAAGGGAAGAGCTGTGGGACCTTCCAATGTTTAAAGATTGGGGCGTGAGGGGAAATGAGTAAAGAGAAAGAAGGAGCAGCTAATGAGGGAGAAAAAGCAGGGCTGGAAGTCAAGGAAGGAGAGTGTTAAAAAAAGAGGGGGTCAAATAGCAATCACCCATGACAGGGAAATGAAATCAGGACTGAGAGGTGACCACTGAATTTAAAATCTGGAGGTCATCGGTGACTTTGGTGAGTAATTTCAGAGGGACGATGGAGACAAAAGAGACTGTCTCTGGTCTCTGACTGGAGGGGCTTAAGGGGAGAATGAAGATAGGGGCAGTGATTATAGATCACCCCTTGAGAGGGTTTTATCACAGAGAGATCAGAAAAGTAGTGAGGCTGGTGAAAGGGCAGGTAAGAGCAAGGGAGTCACTGTGACGTCATAGTCTAAAGGTGAGGAAATGACAGCTTGTTGAAGAGCCAGGAGCAGGTGGGAGCGAGTCCTGTAAGAATATGGGACTAACGAAGAGAAGCACAAATGCTGTCACCTTGGACCAGCTTTCCCAACAAGAGAAAGTCTAGTTATATTACATTTCATTTCATACCGTGATACCATTTGGCTTTAAGTCAATACTGTTCAAACCATTTTGGCCTTACTGAATTTCTCAATTTTCTTGCTGTCTTAAAATTCTTATGAATCAGTTTTGTTCAAGGTGAGAAATCATGTCAGCCCTCCAACAAAACTGATGGTTTTATATGTATACTGCACTCTCCATTCATGATCTGACTTACTCTGCAAAGTGATCCTGTGTAGAAAGCATCTTAATGATTTGTTCCATGTGAATAGCCAAGTAATGTGATGATTAGAATTAAGAGGTGAAATTACAACATGCTCTGTTTATTCTGGGTCTGCCATTCACCAGGAATAACCATGTCCCTTTGGGTGGCAGAGCAAGTCAATATTTTATAATTTTGTTGCATCTATTACATATTTACTATGCATATTAATCAATAAATCTGTGGTTAGAAATGGAAAATATAAAGGTGATAAAAAACCAAATTTGTCATTCTGGCAAGTCAAAATTTCTGCTTACAGTGAAGAAGGGCTTAGAAAAAGGGGAAAAATCAATGAAAGCTTGGAAGGAAACATGGCATACTGATGTTAAAAAATATCTTAGAGGTCAAACAATCCCAATATACAAATAAGGCACTGGGGCTCAAAAAATGAGTGACTTGGCAAAGGTAGTAGAATTAGTTACAGGAGAACATAATGCTCCTGATTTTGAATGTAGTGTTCGTTTCAATGCATTCAGGACCCAATTAATGGACTGAAATTAGCTTCTACAAAGAGAATTACAAGGTCCTCCTTGATTAGGGCGTGTGATTTGGGGGTACTCTGTAATGATATTTCTTTTCAAGTCAAACAGAAAATGCTAATTTTTTTCCAGTGTTTCTATGTGAAGTTTTTGCTCTTACTGTTATCATTTAAGTAAGATAGTTTTCTTTATTCACTTCCCTCTCTTCATTCCCTTGAATTTATTGTCCTTTTTCTTCATGCTGCTCTTTACAAAAGTGGTATAAAAGAAAGCATTTGGGGTCTGCAGAGTGTGCTGCTTCCTGTTTCTGACTTAGAATCTTATCTTTTATCATCTCCCATCTTTCCCAGGCCTCCAACATTGAAAATTCACTAGTTTAAGCCCTTAAGAAGCTCTGAGGGATAGCTCTCCATGCTCCCAGCCACAAGGAGAGAGGGGGCAGCCCTGAGGAAAGGAGAGAGAGAAGGAGGCTCTGCAGAGCCAGGCTGACAGGGTATCTGGATTGTGAGGAGGTCATAAGCGGACAACGTCTGCGCAGAGCTGGAGGCGTCCAAGTCAGATACATCTGGTCAACTGGTTGGCAAAGGCCAGCTGATTCTAGTGGTGATAAGGAATGAACACAAGAATCTACCACCGCAGAACCCCTCACGGCAACCAAGAGGGGGTAGATTAGAGACCCTCCTTGACAGGATGCTTCACTAATTTACAGTAAAGAAGTAGGAAGGGACCAGAACATTCTCATACTTCTTTTATCTTCTTCAATATCTGCTCTTGGACTACATTTGGACTACACAGAGCTCCTTTGATATTGAAATATATTTCAGGGTTCTGTATTTGTTTTTTAAAAACTTTGATTCTTTTAGTGATGTTGTTAGTTTAAATAGAAAGGTGACTTGTGAGTGAGAACAGATTATAGACTACTGATATTATAATATTGTGCTACTCTCTATACTAGTCACTCGATAGACTTTGGAATTGAGGTGTAAAATTCTGTAAGTTTGAAAGATTGATTATAGAGTCATTATGAGAAAGAATAAAGCTTGTTTCCTTCTCATAAAAGAAGAACCAATGTATAACAAAGGGAACACAGAGCTAGGCAGAAATTATTTTTTAAGCTCTGCTTTCTATTTGTTGATTATATGGCTTAAGTCACAAACATTTTTCTTCTTTGACAGTTCATGCTGTTTCACCTGGGTTACCCATAGGTAATGCTTATCTCTAATATTTTAGATATGTCAGCCAGTTGGCCTGGCCGTAACTTGTTCAAAGACATCAGACAAATGCCTTAAAACTTTATCATTTAACATGACAGTTTAAATCATTGAGAGTCCACAATTAGTATTTTGAAATTTTTTTATTCTATGTTCCTCAGTTTTGACTGTAACAAAAGTGTCTCAATATAGTTCATATCACCCAATTTAAAATGCTCTTTTCAACTGTGGGTGTGGGTGAAGCTGATGTTTCACTTGGCATGTGGATGAGTATTTGCTTGGGGACAGATCAAATGCCTGAGGATGCCCACCCATCTTCAACTCGAAGGGAGAGACTTGAGCTTATTTAAATATCAATGGTTGTAAATATACTTGAGATAATAGAGTAGAGGAGAACAATTGTCAGAGTGATGGCTTCAGAATGGAATCCAATTTGTTAACCGTGGGTAGACTTTAGAGGCCTGAGCAGTACATCCGTAGAAACAGGAGAGAACTAATCTGTATTCGCTTGCATACTGAAGTAAGGTTGATGTGATACTGGGAGAAAATGAAACTTTTTTTTTTCTGATGGACTCTTTTTTCCAGTGAAATAGAAAAGGCACTGATTAGCTGAGAGTAAGTAAGACGAAATTTAGAGATTTGAGGAAAGAGTTGATGGTGTAAAAATAATCCACTATGAGAAGTGGAGAGTGAATACACCAGAGGTCAGCAGATTCATTTCACACTCACACCACCGTTACGAGATACATGTTATTAATATGTCCACTTTATAGATGAGCAAACAGAAGGACAGAAATGTTTTGTGCTTTGCCCTATGCCACAGAGTTAAAATGTAGCAGGCAATTTACCTTTCGAAGCTTTAAAGCCAGGTGAGTGTGTTAATCCTAACACCAATGAAAAACTATTGAACCATTTTTAACATGCACAAGTCACGATCAGATTTGTATTTCAAAAAGATCGCACTTGTTGGAGCGTAACCAAAGAAAGTCAATGGTAGTTTGGACAGGGATGGAGACAGAAAAACTGGAGAAAAATGGATGGGATATTTTTAGAGGATAAAATAAATGTACTTAGTGATGGATTGAGGATGAGGGATATGATGACTACTGAGTTTCAGATGTACAATGTGGAACAGTTGATGGCATCATTAACTAGGAGAACAAGGTGTGTGTGTGGTGGGGTGGTGGGGTAGACAGTACTCTAAAATTCTGTACCTATTGTGTTTGCAGGGGCTTTGAGCCCTGCCAATGAAGATGTTGAGAAGATAGTTGTCTGTAAAGATCTATCGCTCAGATGGTTAGAAACATAAAATGTGAGGCATAGCCTAGAGATGGCATTTAAACCATAACTGAAGATGAGATGGCTTTGGAACCAGAATGCAGTTAAACAAAAAGAGGGTATAGGATAACACCTTGAAAATTCCAAAATTTAAAGGTTGCGTAAAAGAAGATACACACTCACATTGCCAAAGAGCTAAGAAGATGTTAAGACTGTGTGTCAGGGGAACCAAATAGAATTTTTCAAGGGTGAGGGTGTGGTCTCCTGGTCCAAATACTATAGACAAGGCAAGTAGCAAGAGGGACCAAAATATCCCTTGGATATAGAAACTGTGAAGTTGTTAGAAGCATTAGTCAGCTATACCAGTGGAATAATGAAGGCAGACGCCAGACTGGAATGTGTTAGGATGAGCTGGAGGTGAGAAAATGGCCAGAAGAAATGCAGATAAACTTTGAGAGGCATTTAGCTAAAAAGAGAATGCGACAGGTGATGGTAGGACCTGTGGACTATAGGACTGAGGGTGGGACTTTTTCGAAAGGGAGAGACTTGAGCTTATTTAAATATCAAAAGAAAGCTTCCGGTTACCATTGATTGGTTCAGTGTATGGGAATAAGAGAGGGATAATTAACCATGTGAAATAGGGGAGGAGGTAAGGGGTGTCTCCTAACGTGCAAGAGCACATAGATGTAAATGTGTTTGTACAGGTCCTTTGCACATTTGCCTAGTCGTGATTTCTTCTTTTGTATTGATTTGAATAGGTTCTATGTTATAAGGATATTTACCCTCACTTTTTATTATATATGTTGCATATATTACTGGAGTTTTTGTTTGTGTTTAAATTTAAATTAATTTGTGATTTATAGCATAAATAAGTTTTCATGAATAAGTTTGGTCAAAAGGTAGAAGCTTCCAGTTTTAAGTAAGAGAATAGATCCTGAAAGTTCTCATCATGAGAGAAAAAAGCTTTTTTTTCTTTTTCTTTTTCTTTTTTTCAAGTATGTATGAGATGATGGATGCTAACTAAAATCATTGTGATAATCATTTCACAATGTGTGTAAGTCAAATCATTATGCTCTATACCTTAAACTTATGAAGTACTGTATGCCAATTATATCTCAATGACACAGGGAAGAAAAACAAAGTTATTTTCCCTCACATCCGTCTCTTGCCCCAGTGATTCTCTGGGCTCTTTGATCAGGGCAGGGGGGTAGAATATGGATTAATATCTTGTGTTTCATAAAATACTATAAAGGCCATTTTCCCCATGGCCCACAAGGTCCAGGCTTTTATAGAAAAAAAAAAAAACATTCTCAATACATCTATCTATCTTGTTTCATTGACTTTTCCTTCACAGTTTCTACGTGTGACATTCTGCACAGAAAGATCCTCTTCAACCAAAGTTTATACAAACATGCTTCAAAAATATTTTCTAAGACATTTTTTTCTCTTCTGAATTTTTACTACATCTGGAATCATGTTTATATTAGGCATGAGGCAGGGAGTCTCTGCCCAGCCCGCCCCAAGGCCATCACCTCACTGGTTGCCTTTAATTAGTACACGATGTCCACCCTCCAGGTTTTAGCCTGAAGAACCTCACAAATTGGGTAACATGATCAAGGGACACTTCCTTGTGCTGGATCACAACCACCTACCTGTCTGTTAGGTCCTTCGTCCTGCCTGTAGAAGGGGGGACGAAGAACCTTGTACGTCTTTTCTCAAGCTCCTGTGCCCTTCTTCTACCAGAATCATCCAGAATGTTTCCCAGGAATTTATTTTTCTTGATTTTATTCATTTCTCAGTTTGAAGGTATGTCTTAACATTTTTTTAAAATCATGGTTTTGTTGTTATGCTACAAGGTAATATCTGTTTAGTCACAAAGTTTAAATTGTAAATGATAAAACCATATCCATTGATGATTTTGCTGAGAACATAGCATAGGACTTGGACTAGATTATGGTTAATCTTGAGATTCTCTGACTCTGTGAAAGGCCATCTTGATCTTAAGTGCTTGGATTTACAGGAAGAGGGAGGAAGGGGTGGACATTACTGAGTACCTGCAATGTGACAGACAGGGTACTAGCCATTAGCCACTTGCTTATTAGCATATTTAAAATTCTGTATTATCGTCTCCACTTTATAGATAAGGATGTTGAGACTAACAGCTACAGATACGACTCATGGCCATACGGCTAATAAACATAAAACTGATTCAAATAAGAACAAATTCCAAAATGCTATGCTGTTTCCTCTGCATCTCTCTTTAGTGAGGGAAGGAGAACTCACCTCGCAGATACCTACCAATTTAATAGGAAATGTATAGATTATATTTACCACTGATTCAAGAGGACCTAATACCCCTTAACAAATGAAAGCCTTATATTTAGCTATGAGAGTTAAGATTTCAAGAGCAAATGTCCTTGGGAGATGAATCAGTAACACACATTGAAACAATCCTTCACAGTGCAGGCTCGAACAGGTAGCAGAATCCAGAGACAAGCATGAGAATAAGATGACGAAAGTGATGATTGCAAAACACGGAGAAAAGATGGAAGAAACTGCAGGAGCCTGATTTCTTTGCCTACTTTCCAGTTTTGCTTATAGTTTCCTGCTTTGGAAATATCGGTCTCCATTTCCTCACATCCGAAGTGGGGATGCTATTTCAGAGCGTTGTACGCGACCGCTGACTGGGAGCAAGTGAACTCTTGTGAGAATAATTCTTGTATTCAATCACTGTGGCTGAAGGTTAATGTCCCATGTTTTCTCCCCCTTGTGTTTCCTTTTAGAAAAGGTAATCCTTGGAATATTCGGTCCAGAGCTGGTTTATCCTAAAAGGCTTCCTCTGATACAGAAGCGAGATGTTTGGCAGAGCCGTGGCGATGACTTACAGGTACAGGATATAATGTGATAAGCAAGAGTGCTTGCTTTCACAGGTTGTGGAAAGCAACCTCCGGCTCCAATCAGGAGCGAACAAGACAGGAAGCTCTAATTTTCTTGAGGACCTGCGATGTGTTGCAGACACATTCATTTTAAAGCATGTTGGTGGGTGGGTGGAACAAGGGGTTTGTGGAGGTGGAAGCAGCACTTCAATGAATTAGGAAACAAAAAGGACTAAGGTTCAGGTTTTAAGGGACGCCCCTAAAACTTTTCCAGTTTATGTGAGGAGGCCCACTAACAGCTTTCCAGGCTGATTGAAGACAACCTCAGTTGTTCTGAGCTGGTGCCTGTGGGATGTTATCTCTGAGCATTTGCTTTCCCAGGCAGCTGGTATACGGGCGAATTTGCCCTACGGAACCCGCAGCAAGCTGTGCAGCTGGCACCGGAACAAAGTGCCTGCTTGGCCTATTGCTTAGAAGGGTCTTTACTTGCATGTGAAAATTTAAAACATTCAGAATTTTATTTTCAAACAGAAAATTTTTATGTAGAAAATACATAAAACATATAATAGGGAGCAAGCTTCAAAATTAGCTTATTTTCCATTCCCATTATGTTAAAGACATTTAATAACTGTCCAGGCTCTTGCATTTCAGAGCCTTAGGTTTTGAATTTGGCTTAAGGAGAACTCTGTCCCTTTGTCCCAAAACTCCTTGAGACGGCAAACCTGTCCCAATGCAATGAATTTTCTGCCTTCTCCATGAAAGAAGCAAGCCTGCCAGGGTCTCATTTGTAAATTTCTCAGTCATAATTAAGACGCATTTCAACTTTCCAAATGGTCTCCTTGAGGCCTCTTTTCCCATGGCTTGAGATGATGAAAAAGCATGTCTCCATCTTCTGCCATCTGGAAATAATATCTAAACATTTTTCTTTTATAACGTCCATATAAACAGTTTTTCTCTTGATCTCCAATTCTTTTCTCTTCTTCTCAAACCCTTTTTTGTCGCAGGTCAGAGGGCTCAGTAAGAGGGCAAAACCAGCTTTCTACTACCCATTGTGCAAAATCTGGTGGGCTCTTCTGCATCTATTATGTCAAAACTTAATAGAGACTGATCTTAAAAGTCCCAGTATGAATATATCAGATGAGCCTGGACGAGAGCAGGAAATATACAGCATGAGTTTGGAGCATCTTGTAGTCCTGGAAAGTAAGGGAGTTTTCAAACAAATAAAAAAATGCCAAGCTGTATTCCTGGGTGTATGTCAAAAGACCACAGCAGCCCACTGAATGGCTCCCACTGGTCAAAGAAGGGACAATCTGAAAAACAAAGTTAATAATAGAGTTTAGGACCATAACATAAATTATAAATTAATATCGATGAGCCCATGTGATATAAATAATGGAATAAGTAAATAAATGGTGGAAAATAGACAAATCTCCTATCCAGAAGAATAAAACCTTGATGTAGACACTCCCCTCCCCAGGAGATGGAGCATAACTCCCCTCCTTAAAGCATGGGCTGTGCACCGTGGCTTCCTACCAAAGAGTTGAATATGCAAAAGGTGGGGAAATGCTGACACATGCTGCCTCAGCCAGGTGACAAGGTTAGCATCATCGTGATGAGTCATGCAGATGTAATATGATCAGAACGGTACTTTATTTTGTTGTCTTCTCCCAAATCTCCATAGCCCCAATCTAAGCAAGAGAAAAACATCAGAAAAATCTAAATTAAAGGGCAGCGTACGAAATTCCTGACCAGTACTCCTCAAAACTCTCAAGCCCATCAAAAATAAGGAAAGTCTGGGAAACTGTCATAGTCCAGAGGAGCCTAGGAGATATGACATGAAAACAGTAAAAGGACATTAGGCAAAAACTAAGGAAATCTGGATAAGTGCAGACCTTAATTGGTGATATCAATTTTAGTTCATTAGCTGTGACATATACACCATAGTAAATAAGATGCTAACACAGGGAAACCTGAGTTGTGGGCTACATGGGAATCCTCTCTCCAACTTCTCTGTGAGTTTAAAATGATTCTAAAATAAAAATAAATTTAAAACTTACATGAAAAAATAAAAGTATAAAAATTTTATAAGTCCATTTATTAAAGACAGTAAACATGACAAGATTTAAATAGTTTTATCATATTTAACAGGATTAACAATAGTTTCTTACTATTAGCTAATATACAATCCATATTCAAGCAAATTCCAAAAAAGCCCAATCATGCCATCCTGTTAGACCCACACACACATGCAGGTCATCATGTATGAAAATCAGATCCAACCCTTCTTATTTGAGTACCTAGTTTCTTGCCGACCTGTGGATTCTGTGTCTTCATAATAAAGTCCTAATTACATTAAGCTTACAATAAAAAACATCCCAACTAATTCACATCTCACAACTAACAAATCCAAAACTGTCTTTTCTGTCCCTCAAAGCTACCCTGTTTTAAAAACCCTCTTTTCAGTAGAGGCACAGTGAAACCAAAAAGCTGTGATTCTTGACTCCTGTCTTGTGCCTCCCCTACCAGGCAAGCTCTAAGCTTTGTAGATTCTAGCGTGCAAATATCCTAGGAAATTTGGAAATTACCCTTCCATATGCCTGCTGCCACTGCCCTGCCCAAATCACCGGTATCCCACCAACAGCCTTTCAGGACTTTCCCTGCCTGTGGTCATGATTTTTGCTGATCCGTTACCCATGGTGAGGCAGCCGTGTACAATACCACTCCCAGTTCTGCACTATTCCACCTAAAACTTTCCCTTCTCTTTACTCTCAGGATAAGGTCCAAATCCTTGTAAGTGACTGACTAGGCTGCACACCCTTTAGTTTTTCCTACCTTTTCATTTCTCATTTCTGCTCAACTTCCATTTGATTTTCCAGCAACATTACATTTCTCTGTCTTCCTCAAACACGCCAAGCTCTTTCCCCCCCTCACAGCTTTGCATGGGCCGTCCCACGCCCCGACTGTTCCTCACTCATTCACTGCATTTCGCCTCTTATGTATGATGTTTATAATACTTAGTTACATGGCTTGATTTTCTTCTTTGCCCAGCTGTCGCTTCCATGAGGGCAGTTACCTCTATCATGTGCACCATCATGTTTTCCATATGATCACTAGGTTTAAAATAGCAGCTATTAAATAAGTGATGAACAATAAACTAAAGAAAGGTGGAGGATATGGGACCAACCACTATGAATCCTTAAATTATAAAATACTCTTATGAACCATAAAGAAATGAAATCCCAGTAAAGAAAATGGTGGAAGGACATAAATGAGAAATTCATGTAAATAAATAAATAATGAGAAGTAACTAAATAAAATAAATAACTAAAGATGCTAAATAACAAGAGATATATTAATTCCAATGGTCATTCAAAAAAACAATTTATCACAATAAGTTATCACTTCATGATTTGAAAACCTTTTATTAATGATAAGATACAAGAATCACTATGAATTTCTGATGACACTCTAAACTTCGTACATCCTTTCTTCAGGGTTATTTGATAGTATTTACAAAAAGCTTAGATGTTTTTCCACATTGTTGACAAGAAAGTCTGTCTAACTATAGTGAATACTTCAAATCAAACTTCTGATATAGATGTAAATTAAATAAATTCACATTGTGCTTGTCAGCCATAAAATACATACTATGAAAGAACACATTGGAATAGGAAAATGATAGTGGTTATAATTTATTTTCATGTGAAAAGTAGACTGCAAAATTGTATACACAAAACTATTAAAAATACATAAACAGAAGATCCATGGGGGAGACGGGTGTGGAACTGTAGGGATGATAGTAATTTGTATTAGCTTGGATAAGGGTACAATATGCATTTTTTCATTTTATTTGATTCTAACTGGACAAAAAAAGCTCATTGAAAATTTTAATTACAAAAATAATTTGAAAGCAAAATCCTCTATATTAGCTCTCAAATTCAGCGTTATCAGTACTTATCATTTTGCCTGTAAGGCCTGCTAGGCTGCTGGGTGGGCTGTGAATGACCTGGAATCCCCCACCACACACATGTACCCATGCCCCACCCCGACACATACTAAATGAGCACACATTTAAATCACTTGATGGATATTGTTTTTCAGGAAACTTATGAAGAAGAACTGTTGTATGAAATAAAGCTAAATAAAAAAAGCTTAATACTCCACCTTTGCAAGATCAAGGTAAGTTCTGTTATATAGTTCAATACCTTATGGATTTATTAGTCTATAGTATCCCAGTTTTTGTAAAAACTGTCAGTGAAGCAAATTCCTCAAATCATTGTTTCTATATCTAATTCGAATTCTTACTCTTCTAATATAAGCCCATCTCATTTCAATGGCTTACCAACAGTTATAGTCACTGTTCTCTATTTCCTACATTGCTCCCCTTTTAGGGTACTTGAAGTTCTTTGAGTTCCATATACTCACTCTAGAAAAGAGTTCATGCATTACTGTTTTGTGAGCCAGTGGAACATTGAGCCAAAAAACATTTGGAAACCATGGCTTTTAAAGTGACTTCTAAATTACTTAAAATAGAATCAAACCAAGTTCTGCTGGAGAGTAAGCTAAGAATTGGGAAGAATTTACTTCATCAAGTTAACATTTATAAGCTAGATAAGTCTAAAGCCTTCACTTCTTTATTAGCTCTCTCCACAATATTTGCTATTGTTGAATTTCCATTGTTTTCCTTTGGGCCATTCCTGCACACAATAGCTTTGCCTCCCAACCCCAAACATTAAAATCATGAACTGCCAAATGCTAAGTAAAATGGGAGGCTAAGTCTATTGAAGAATTGGTACTCTGGCCAATCAGCTAAGAACAAAGCCAAACCAATCCAAAACAAATGTAAAAAAAAAAATCCCTCCTTCCACTCTGAATCCCCCACTGGACACATGTAACTTAATAGCATACTTACATTGATCATTCATTCATTCGGACTGCATATTTTAACATTTTTAGGATAGAAGACTAACATGTATCAAGCAATTTCTGTGTGCCTTTCCTCAACGGTATCTCTCAATCCCTGCAATATCTATATGAAGCAAATATGGTTTTATTTCCATTTTACTGCAGAAGAATGATAGGTTCGCTGAAATAGTAACTTGTCCAGGGTCACAATGCACACTAATAATACATTATTTGGTGAAAAGTTTCATTTTCGTTTTCCAAATTAATTGTGCAATTTTATATAACCTCCAACAATGTATGAGCATCCCAGTTGTTCCACGTCCTCTTCTCACTTGGTGCATTCACCACTTCTAATTTTAGCCATAGTGGTAGGTTTGATACTATCTCAGTTTGGGTAAGTTAGCAGTTCTCTATTGAAACCTTTTTCATGTGATTACTGACCACTTGTATATCTCTTGTAAGGTGTCTGTTTAAATATTAACCCACTTCGAACTGGGTTATTTGTTTTCTGTTGAGTTAGAGATCTTTATATATCCTAGAGTGCAGCCCTTTGTCGAATATATTTCTTGTTGATGGTTTCTTCCAATCTGCGACTTTTTCATTCATTTTCTAAATTGTGTCTTGTAAAAGAGTACAATTTCATAACTTTGAAGAAATTTTAATTCACCAAATTTTTCTTTTGTGATTATTGTTCTGCAACCTGTTTTCTTCTAAAGTCTTCCTGGTTCTCACTTTCACTTTTGGTTTATTACCATCTTGAAATTGTCTGTCTGGGTAATTTGCCCAAGAGTTAAGGTTCTCTTTCTTCTGGATGCACAGCCCAGTTTGTTCGATTGTATTTGTTTGGTTTGGATTATTTTCACAAAATTAAATGAAAATTGCTGAGCTCTCTACTCTGTTCATCTACTTTTCAGTCCTTAAACCACAGCCACCTTGTCTTGATTACAGCAGTTTTATAGTAAAGTCTGAAAGCCAGTTTCGGTAGCTTCTCTAATTTTGTTCTTCTTTTCAGAATTTTGTAGAAGTTCTAGATCCTTTATATTTCTCTGTAACACCTAAAATCCACTTGTTAATTTTTAATTTTTTAAAAGCCTTCTGGAATTTTTGTTGGGATTTTATGAATTCATACATCAATTTGGAGAGAATCGCTATCGATAATATACAGTCATCATGTATCTCAGTATTTATTTAGGTTTTCTTTAATTATTATCATAATATTTTATAGTTTTAGTGTAGCAGTCTAGCATGTGTTTTTAAAAATTTATTTCTACATTATTTAATGTTTGTGGGGCTCTCATGAGCAGAATTATTTTTTATTATTTCATCTTTTCTACTGGGAGGACTTAAATTATGAATGTATTGATTGTATTATAGATTACATAGAGATTCACATCAGCAAATATTGGCAATTTTCTTCTTTCTTTCCAGTCAATATTCCTGTTGCTTCTATAGTTTACTGTAATGACCAGTAACTTCAGTACAAATTGAGTAGCAATAAGAGTTGGCAGCCTTACATTACTCCTGATCTTAAGGGGGAAATGTTCAATATTGAATGTTTAATATGATATTGCCAGTAGATTTGTCATTGGTGTACTCTATTAGATTGAGATCATTACATGAGAAGTTTGCTGAAAGTTTTTTTCTAACACGGACTGATTTTAAACATTAAACCATCTTGCATCTCTGGGACAAAACCTTCTTTACAGCATTCAGTTTACTAATATTTTCTTAAGGGTTTTTGAAACCATGTTGATGGATAGATATTATTCTGTATTTTTAGTTTTTTATGATGACAGATTTTTTTTCTTAGGATTAAGTTGGCCTCAAAAGATAAGTTGGGAAGTGTTTTCTCTTCCTGTATATTATGAAGGATGTTGTTTTTTATGTTTAGCAGAATTCACAAATGAAACTCTGTACCTTAGGGATATTTTGTTTGTATGTGTGGGAAATGAACAGAAAATCTCAGCAAAAAGAAAAACAAAAAACAAAAAAGATATAAGAAGACACAAGTGTAAATTTTAGAACTGAAAAGTAAAATACTTGAGAAAAGAAGACCTCAATAGATGGACTCAATATCAGGATGGAAATAACAATAGAAATAATGAATGAAACTAGAAGAATAAAAATTGTAAAATCTAAATAACAGAGAAAATTGGCTATAAACCAGACATTCTCAGGAATATATGAGAATAAAATAAAGGATGTAAAACTACTACCATTAGAGTTCCAGAAGGAGAAAGAGTATGGAGCTAAAAAAGTATTCAAAGGAATAATTTGATACTGAAAATTCCCAAATTTGGCAAAGAAAACCCCGTAACCCTACAGATACAAGAAGCTGAATAAACTCAAAATAGGATAAACTTGAACTCAAACTCATTCCAGGACATACCATAGTGTATAAGTGTATACATATATATATAAACACTTACTATATGTATATACTGTATTATCTAGAGCAAACATTAAGAAGCCTATACAAAGAGATATGCTTAAAGACAATATAGATACACCAAAGTGGAACATGATCACATCAACTGATGCAGATAAAAGCTTTGCACAAAATTCAACACTCATTTATGATTTAAAAATTCTTAGGAAATTAGGAATACAGGGGAATGTACTCAACTTGATAAAGAATAGTTACAAAACCCTATAGCTAACATCATACTTAATGATGAACGACTGAATGTTTACCTCCTAAAATCATGAACTGGGCCAGTATGCCTGCTCTCAGGATGGCTAATCATTGGCACAGTCTAGAAGATCTAGTCGGTGCTACAAGACAAGAAAAGGAAATGAAAGGCATATAATTTGGAAAAATAGCAGAAAAAAATCCTTATTTTCAGATGACATGATAATAGTTTACATAGAAAAACCCAAGGAATCTGCCATACAAAAAAATAAACAAATAAAAAAAACCCAATAGTGAGTTCAGCAAGGTCACAGCCTATATCATCACACAGAAACCAATTGGATTTCTATATACTAGCAATCAACATACAGAAACTGAAATTTAAAATATAGTAATACCAATTGCAACTGCTAAATAAGGAATAAAACAGTTATAAACCTGAGAAGTATATATAAGACATATACAGAATAGTACAAAATGCTGATGAAAAATCATCAAAAAGATGTAAATAGATGGAGTCTTATTCTGTATTAATGGATTGGAAGACTCAACATAGTAAAGATATCAGTTCTCTCCAACTGATAAATAGGGTTATCACAATTCCTATCAAAATCACTGCAAGAGGTTTTGTAAGTGTAGACAAGATTATTCTAAAATTTATAGGGAAAGACAAAGGAACTAGGGTAGCTGAAACAAATCTGAAAAAAAACAAGAAAGTGGGAGGAGTCACTTCACCCAATCTTAAGAACTATTATAGAAACACAACGTCATATTGTCAGGGGAATAGACACACAGATCAATGAACTCAAATAAAGAACTTAGAAATGGTTCCACACAAATAGAGCCAACTGACTTTTGGCAAAGTTTCTAAAGCAAATCAATGGAGAAAATATAATCTCTTCACCAAATGGTGTGAAACAATTGGTTATCCACATCAAAGAATTAAAAAAGAACTTCAACCTACATCTCAAACTTATGCCAAAATTGACTCAAAATGGATCATGGCCTTCAATGTAGAATGCAAAACTATAGCATCTAGATATAATACAAGAATATCTTCAGGATCTAGAGCTAGGCAAGGAATTCTTAGGCCTAACACTAGCAACAAGATCAATAAAAGGTCTAATTCACAAATCGGACTTCATCAAAATTCAGTGTTTGCTCTGCAAAAACCCCTTTTATGAGGATGAAAAGACAAGCTGCAGATTGGGAAGAAGCATTTGCAAACCAAAACTGACAAAAGACCAGTGTATGGAAAGAGTTCTCAAAACTCAACAATAATAAGGCAAGCAATCCAATTGGAAAATGGGCAAAAAGCATCGGGAGACATTTCACCGAAGAGGATATAAAGATGATGAATAAGCACTTAAAAATTTATTCAACGTCATTAGCCATTCAGAAAATGCATTTTAACCCTACAACAGAATATCACAACAGACCTCTCAGGATGGGTAAAATTAAAAAATATTATACCATCAAATGTTGGCAAAGGATACAGAGAAAGTGGATCATTAATGCATTGCGGATGGTAATATAAAATGACGTAACACTCTGGCAAACAATTCGGTGATTTCTTAAAAAATGAAACATGTAACCTCTGTGAAATGTAGCAGTTGTGCTCCTGAGTATTTATCTCAGAGAAACAAAAACATACGTTCACACCAAAAGCTGTACACAAGTGCTTGCAGTTTTATTCATGATAGCTCAGAACTGGAAACAACTCAGATTGCCTTCAACAGGCGAACAGTTAAACTGTGGTGCATCTGTATCATGCTACTCAGCGGTAAAATGAATGACTTGGATGGATCACAAAGACATTATGCTGAAGGACAAAAAAAGCCAATCTCAAAAAAAATCACATACTGTATAATTGCATTGGTGTAACGTTCTCAAAATGACAAAAGTACAGAGCTAGAAAACAGATTCGTAGTTTTATCGTTGCTAGGGATTAGGGATGATGTCGGTGGGGGGTGGGTAAGGAAATGGCTATAAATGGTTAGCAAAAGGGAGATCTTTCTGGTGACAGAATAGTTCTGCATCTTGATTGTAGTAGTGAAACACAAATCTACATACATGATAGAATGACACATACACATTTTCCAGTGTTATTTCTGGTTTTGATTTTGTACTATAATCATGTAAGATGAAACCACTGGGGAAACTGAGTGAAGGGCACACACTTCAGCCTCTATGCTATCTCTGTAACTACCTATGAATCTATAGTTATTTCAAAATAAATGTTTTATAGTAAGATACTAGTACTTTGTACTCAAAACTGAAAAGGGCAGAACCCTTTGTTTTATAAGAAAATAAAATTTTACAATGTAGTGTTCTGCGGGAAAAAAAGTGATGCCCACCGATTCAATGCCTGAGCTGAAATGTATGTCTTGGTCCCATGCTGAACATATAATCCTAGTTATTTGAAGTTACTGAGAATGAAGACAAGGTGTGTTCATGGAACACAAAACACGAATTATCCACAATTAGATAGAGCTCAGTAAATTTCAGAGCACAGAGTGTTACTCTGACTGAACAAGAAATTGGCCACCTGTGGCTGCAGTCAGACACCTCACCAGACAGCATGAATGTGAACAATTAACTAAGCTCCTTTCCCCTAGCAACTTCTAATGTGCCATTGAATGAAGAGTTAACAGTTTTGAGGGAAATGACTCAGTCCCCCCTTCCCTGGTTCTAGGGACAGTACTTTCTTGGGCACATCAAAAAGTTTATTATTTATGTGATATGTCTGTATGAAATTACATTCACTCCAGGTAACGTCATCTCCTTCGGCCATCATAATTTCTCTACGCAGTCCTTCCCACCAGTCTTCTTTTCCTGGTCTGTGCTTCTCTTTTCCTTTTGTTGGTCTTTTATTTATATAAGACTGTCCTGAACTCTTCATTATTAATCTTTGGAAAGACACAAAACTCAACTCTTGCATTTCAAAAGCCTTGACTCTCAACCGAGTGTTTCTGTCATGAGTTTCAATAGTCTATTATTTAGGCTTAAATTAAGCCAACACCTTCCTTTCCTGTTCTTCTGTTCTTCTGCAGCATTCATCTCCAGAAGCAGTGGAGACACACAATCCTAGTTCTGGGTCTGAGGATACCTGTGGGTTTTGATACAGGGGATGTGAGCAAGCAAAGCAACTCTATTGATTACTCAGAATATTATCCTTTTATTTGTGCAGAGAAAAGACTATAAGGAATTACATGAAAATATTAGCAGTGGTTGTCTTCTGATGGTAGGATTTCAGGACAATTTCTTTTGTGCTTTTATGTTTTCTAAATCTGCTCTGATTAATACATATCGCTTTTCTTTAACTATGTAGCAACTGAATTACTATGTGTTCAGATATATATGTGATAATATGTGTATCTGTATATGTGATATATATTATGTATATATATTATATTTAGATTAAAATATACATATATGTAATATACATGATGCATATATTCATGTAGATGATACATATGATGTACCTATCACAATTTTGGGGCATTAAATTTGGCTCTTAGGGCAAGAGGTTTATGCTCAGGCAATATTTTCTCCAGGTTCTTCTCAAGATGCTGCCTTCCTAAAACTGCCAGAATCTTTTTCTGTCTCTTCTGCAGTCTTTATCAAACCATGAAATCTAGGTAGAAAAACTTTTTTTTTTTTTTTTTGTAAGTGGGATTGATTTTGCTTGCCTGTTTCTGTTTTTAACATCAGAGGACCTTGCTGAGATTTAACAGCAGCCTGGAGGCTTTTCTCTCACTATCTGGTTTTACCTGTTAACTTTTTTAAATGAGTAAATCTCACTACCTCTCTGGGCCTCTTTTACAGGGAGTTCCTAGCCTCAAAGTACAGTGAGATGTACTACTCCGCAGAAGGAGAGGAGTCAGCAGCCATCCTCAGACCACGGTGTCTTGGGGGATTCCTGTGTCTCTTCTCTGAAACTTCCTTCCTCGTGGGACTGCCAGACCTCCTTCCAGCTTTTGCAAGCAGCTTCCGAAAGTGTTCAATCAGTCACTGACTGATCCGAGAATGGCAAACATGACCCTCAGCACTCTAAAAGAGGCTGATCACAGCCTAAGCAAATCAATAACTGCTAATGTATTTTTCTTTGCCAACTGACTTTCATACTCCAAAATGGTGTGAAATCTGGAGGAAGGATAAGGCAGGACACTGAAGAAGTATGAGGCACCCTGATGAGATTGTAAAGCTAAATGGATAAAACCCAAAGACGTGAAACAACTTCAACGCCTTCATCTAGCTGACCCCTTTGTGAATGACAACCCCTTGCCCAGTCCTGATGCACCACCACCGAAGCCTTTCCTTCACTCTCCAAATGAATCTTTGTTCATTTATCATTAATACTATGCAAGCAGATATAGGCTCTACTTTGATCATCTTATTCCCCTTTTCAGAACATGCACTCTGCGGCCTTCTAACCAAAGATGACGTTATTCTCCTAATAAAAGTATTTTAAAACTTATTTCCTCTATTTAAGGCAGCTCTCAACTACGAAATCTAAGTCATCACGCGATCTTTGTAAAATAGAAAAGAAAGAAAGCTAGGTAACATTCCCTTATGCAGTGGGTGGTGTTCCCTGTGAAGGTCTGAGGTCCTTGGAAGGCCACGGAAAGTGTCAGACATGGCGGGAGTTGAACAGATGAATGTGACGCAGTCATTTCCTGGTGGAATCACCACGGGCAGAGCGCCTCTAAGAAAGAGGCCAACTTGATTAAAGCAGAGAGGCAGGAGGGGATCTGGCTGGAGAGTGAGATTTAATTTCTGAGTTATTATCAAAATGACGACTGAGTTATTGGCTTGATTTCATAGGCAACTGGAGAAAAATTAAAACAATAACTCAAGAGCGTTAGTTTGCTTGAGTTTTTAGGACGGGTTAAAAGAAGATTATTTCTAAGGAAAAGGAGCCCATTTCTGAGGCTGGTGCCATCAACTAACAGACTGCTAAATTTGGCAGGGAAGAATCCATATACTGTTTTGCACAAAATAATTGTGAAATTAAAGTAAAAGTATTCTAATGGAATTTCAAAAATTTCCAAATGAAAGAGTGCAGTGAATGAATGCCTGAATGGATATAAATGTAATTTGTGAGAATGACAATTGTGAAATCATGAAAATATATTGTGATCATGAAATATCTAGCTGTTAATATTTAAATAATATCAATGTATGTATTTATGTCAATAGCCTCTCCATCTATTTCAGGATCACTGCTTTTATCAAGGATCCATCATACATGAGTTTGATTCTGCTGTCAGTATCAGCACATGTAATGGTCTGAGGTAATGGACAGTATATTTCTATTTCTTTTATGAATTTTCCCATGGATTTTTCAAGGACAGTCCCTTCTTTCCTTTCAACACCTGTAGTAAAGAGGAAAATTAATGGGAGAAACTAATTGATTACTCAGAATATTATCCTTTTATTTGTGCAGAGAAAAGACTATAAGGAATTACATGAAAATATTAGCAGTGGTTGTCTTCTGATGGTAGGATTTCAGGACAATTTCTTTTGTGCTTTTATGTTTTCTAAATCTGCTCTGATTAATACATATAGCTTTTCTTTAACTATGTAGCAACTGAATTACTATGTGTTCAGATATATATGTGATAATATGTGTATCTGTATATGTGATATATATTATGTATATATATTATATTTAGATTAAAATATACATATATGTAATATACATGATGCATATATTCATGTAGATGATACATATGATGTACCTATCACAATTTTGGGGCATTAAATTTGGCTCTTAGGGCAAGAGGTTTATGCTCAGGCAATATTTTCTCCAGGTTCTTCTCAAGATGCTGCCTTCCTAAAACTGCCAGAATCTTTTTCTGTCTCTTCTGCAGTCTTTATCAAACCATGAAATCTAGGTAGAAAAACTTTTTTTTTTTTTTTTTGTAAGTGGGATTGATTTTGCTTGCCTGTTTCTGTTTTTAACATCAGAGGACCTTGCTGAGATTTAACAGCAGCCTGGAGGCTTTTCTCTCACTATCTGGTTTTACCTGTTAACTTTTTTAAATGAGTAAATCTCACTACCTCTCTGGGCCTCTTTTACAGGGAGTTCCTAGCCTCAAAGTACAGTGAGATGTACTACTCCGCAGAAGGAGAGGAGTCAGCAGCCATCCTCAGACCACGGTGTCTTGGGGGATTCCTGTGTCTCTTCTCTGAAACTTCCTTCCTCGTGGGACTGCCAGACCTCCTTCCAGCTTTTGCAAGCAGCTTCCGAAAGTGTTCAATCAGTCACTGACTGATCCGAGAATGGCAAACATGACCCTCAGCACTCTAAAAGAGGCTGATCACAGCCTAAGCAAATCAATAACTGCTAATGTATTTTTCTTTGCCAACTGACTTTCATACTCCAAAATGGTGTGAAATCTGGAGGAAGGATAAGGCAGGACACTGAAGAAGTATGAGGCACCCTGATGAGATTGTAAAGCTAAATGGATAAAACCCAAAGACGTGAAACAACTTCAACGCCTTCATCTAGCTGACCCCTTTGTGAATGACAACCCCTTGCCCAGTCCTGATGCACCACCACCGAAGCCTTTCCTTCACTCTCCAAATGAATCTTTGTTCATTTATCATTAATACTATGCAAGCAGATATAGGCTCTACTTTGATCATCTTATTCCCCTTTTCAGAACATGCACTCTGCGGCCTTCTAACCAAAGATGACGTTATTCTCCTAATAAAAGTATTTTAAAACTTATTTCCTCTATTTAAGGCAGCTCTCAACTACGAAATCTAAGTCATCACGCGATCTTTGTAAAATAGAAAAGAAAGAAAGCTAGGTAACATTCCCTTATGCAGTGGGTGGTGTTCCCTGTGAAGGTCTGAGGTCCTTGGAAGGCCACGGAAAGTGTCAGACATGGCGGGAGTTGAACAGATGAATGTGACGCAGTCATTTCCTGGTGGAATCACCACGGGCAGAGCGCCTCTAAGAAAGAGGCCAACTTGATTAAAGCAGAGAGGCAGGAGGGGATCTGGCTGGAGAGTGAGATTTAATTTCTGAGTTATTATCAAAATGACGACTGAGTTATTGGCTTGATTTCATAGGCAACTGGAGAAAAATTAAAACAATAACTCAAGAGCGTTAGTTTGCTTGAGTTTTTAGGACGGGTTAAAAGAAGATTATTTCTAAGGAAAAGGAGCCCATTTCTGAGGCTGGTGCCATCAACTAACAGACTGCTAAATTTGGCAGGGAAGAATCCATATACTGTTTTGCACAAAATAATTGTGAAATTAAAGTAAAAGTATTCTAATGGAATTTCAAAAATTTCCAAATGAAAGAGTGCAGTGAATGAATGCCTGAATGGATATAAATGTAATTTGTGAGAATGACAATTGTGAAATCATGAAAATATATTGTGATCATGAAATATCTAGCTGTTAATATTTAAATAATATCAATGTATGTATTTATGTCAATAGCCTCTCCATCTATTTCAGGATCACTGCTTTTATCAAGGATCCATCATACATGAGTTTGATTCTGCTGTCAGTATCAGCACATGTAATGGTCTGAGGTAATGGACAGTATATTTCTATTTCTTTTATGAATTTTCCCATGGATTTTTCAAGGACAGTCCCTTCTTTCCTTTCAACACCTGTAGTAAAGAGGAAAATTAATGGGAGAAACTACTGTATATTTTCAGTGTATCCACCCTAGCCTGCTGTTTATGTTTTATGTTCATTTTTGACAAAAAGATGTCTAATACACAGCCCTATACAAGACAAAATTTTTAGCATTGGATCAAGGGATTCAGAGCTGGAAGCTACTGGAAGTCATTCGACCTGTCCCCTGGTGTTACATCAGGATGCTGAAATCAGGGACTTGCTCCCGAACATTCCATCTACTAATCATAGAACTCAGTCCAAAACCAGGCCTCCTTACTTCCAGTCCTGTGAATTCCCACCATACCTTAACACTTCATACTTTTTACTAAATCAGGCAGTATTTCCAGTCTCTAGAAAGTAAAAGTCACTAGTAAAGGCTGTGTAAGTTCTCTATAGATCTTGTGCTCAAGGATACAGGGAGGCAAAGCAAGAATTTCTTCATTTAAAAGGACTTTACTTAAGTAGTTCCCAGTATTTTCAAACCCTTGTAATGACAAGATTCCCACAGAAGAGTATTTTGTGCTTCCATATATGCACTCTACAATAATTGCATGATGGACATAAAAATTCACAGAAGTTGTACAAGAAGTCTGCGACTTACTAGGGGTCCACAACTCCGAATGGGAGTTGCTACCTCACATACACTTCAAATCAGAGATCAGGCTGTCAAACTTCTGAAAATCCAGACAGGTTTGCTCTTACAAAAGTTACTAATTCAACCAAAGGCCACCTGTCATCTCTTCCCCTTATTACTTAGAACACCTGCTAAGTGTTCATGAGGACTTGACCTTATAGTTTCCCTGTGTTCAAAAGACAAAGTAATAAAATGGAGCAGAGTGGTATTGTGTAGTAATGCAGTAGTAATATGGAATAGATCTTGATTATATATTATATTCCCAATTTCCACAGGGGGTTCTTCAGGGTGAGTGACCGAAGGTATCTCATTCAACCAGTGAAATATTCAGATGAGGGAGAACATTTGGTGTTCAAATATAACCCAAAGATGCAGTATGCTGCCAATTATTCTTGTACAGAGCTCAATTTTACCAGGACAACTGTTCCAAGGGCTAACCCTAAATCTATGGAAGACTCCAAAGCGGAAGTGAGTGCCTTATTTTTAAATCATCTTTATCGCCTAGGTAAAATGCCTCTGGTTTCCTCTCTGATTTCAAGTGAGAGATGACGAGCCCACCTAATGATGTGTACTTCATGGTACCTGAGACTGACTCTTCACTATGGTTTAAAACCTGAAATGTCAAACCTCTGTTTTTGTTATCTATATAGAAAACTGTTCATCCCCTGCAGTAATTCTGTCTGTCTCATCCATTTCAAGGACCAGAGATACCTATAACCCTACAGACAGATTTTTGGCATTAGTGGCTGGAAAGACTGAAGTTTACAATGTCTTAAATTTCCCCTAGATACTGTTTCTTCTTGTCTTCTCTGCCAGTTTTTGGGGAATGAAGTGGGTGATAAGCCAGTTTCTCTCCTTTTCATCAGGTCAAATATCCTCACGTTTAAGGACAATTAAGAGTAATAACAAGTTCATTTCCTGGTGGAATGATCACACAGTGAGAGTCATTTGTGTTTTATGCTTTTTCTATACAACTAGTTCATATCACCATAAATCCCCACAAAGCATTAGCCCGTAAGGTCCAAAGGTGTCCATCTTCTTCACATATTCATGGCCTAGACTGAGTCTGAAACTTAGTATGTGCCTCACAGATGTTTTTCAGTTGCATCCATCAATAAATAAATGATTACTTAGTCTACAAAAGGATGACTTCTTCAAATTTGGGGACAATATGCCTCCAGTTTATACTCAGAGAATATGCATGTATCTCAATGCATGATTCTAAAAACTGAAAACAGTGTATGGACATTTTATAAATAAAAGATCTGGAATTAGCAACTTTTATACATGCTGCCTTGGAACTGAGATTACTGCTAAGTGGGAGTTTGGGAGATGGGGGAGGTTTAGGGCTATATAGTCAGTCCTATTAGCCAGTCCTGTATTTTGCTCTCAACTCTAGATGGGCCTTCTTTCCATGAGCTTAATACTTAGCAAACATTTACTTTGTAAACAAAAATAACTAAATGTTAAAAACTGGACTCATGATTCTTTATTCTAACTCATATTGTACCTGAGAGATTAAACAAAGAGAAAAAGAAGAGTCAAATATGGAATATAATACAAATGGAATGCAATAAAACTTGGAGGTTTATTAAAATCTGATGTATGGGGCCACATGTTTTAATAATACAGTTTTATTTAGATATATTCCTAGAATTACTTGATTTACTCCTATACCTTACTTTCCTGTATCAGTAATATTTATATTTCTTACTTTGAAAATCTTAACTTAAAATGCTAAATTGAGAACTATTAACCCTACTTTATTAAATTTCCCATAAATTTTCAGATATTCCATAAAGAGAAATATGTCGAACTGTTCATTGTTGCTGATGATAACATGGTAAGTTTTTAGATGAGCATTTGCTCTTTATTCATCCTTACAGAACTATAGCTGTGATTCTAACAAAGAGAAAAAAATATTTTAATCAGATGTCCATTCTCAGTTTAACATTCCGTTTTTAGATTCCACAAATAGATTTAAATGAGAGACGGTAAGGTCCTTTGATAATACAGCACACTCAACCAAAATAGAATTTCCGTTCCCTATTACAAACATATGGAAATGATGAACAACATATAAAATATTGAGAATATGTTTACAATCTGTACTTGAGCCCAGAAGGACACACAGGAAATCTCCAAGGGCTAAAAATAAGGAAGAGAATTTCTGTTAAAAAAGTAAGAAAAATTCAAAGGCTTGGTGACACACTACATAGAATATATTATATAACACCCAGATCCATTAAAGGGCTGCCCCCACCCTGAAAAGGGAACTAGTAAAGTTCTCTCCACTGAAACTGCAAAGAGAAAGGAAATGCTCTGTCTTCCTGTAGTGCTGGGCAGGGAAAACATTATGTATGGGAAAAGCAAAAATTCTAAGCATTGATATGGGGCATGATACTTTTCTTCAGATACAGAAATGTCAATGAAAACTTTCAACATAAACATTGATTAGAAACTTGGTAAACAGCTGCAGCCCAAGTCACAAAGGCCCCATAAAGACATTTTCAGAATCTAAAATAAAATTAATCACATGAGGAATAATCCACCAAGGCATTGAAAAGAATAAGCTCTCTACTAACTGTAAATCACCCAGTGGTATTTCAGATTATACACCTAACAACGGAGTATAAAAAGATATCCAACAGAAAGTAACAGGGTGTCAGGGAAAGTGTGGGTTTTTTAGTTCTCCTCTGGCCGAAAATTTCAGGTCAAGCAGGAAAAAACTTCAACAAATGTAGAAAATATTTGAGCCATACAAATACAGGTGTAATCTAATCAATCATCACCCTATCCTGCAAACACATAATAGGCAATATTTTCTTCACCTACAGATAGAAAATTTTCAAAAATTAAGCTTAAATTTGGCCATAAAGGATGCAAAAAGAAATAGTAATAAATAGATATCCATGAAGATCACTTTTTTTTCCCCACAATCAAATTGGAAATTTTAACAAAAACTGTTAAACCAAGCCAGTAAAAGATCATACCTTTGGAAACTAAAAGCAAAATACATTTCCAAATAGTAATTGACTAAATAAATCAAATATGAAATTATGAAATATTTATAACAGCAAAAATAAAAGATTAGTATAAATAAAATATTTTAGATTTAGGTATAGCAGATTTAGAAAGACATTTATAGACAAACATTTCTATTAAAAAAGAAAAAATCATTGAACTAAGAGTCTAACTGGAAAAGTTAGAAAATGAAGCATAGAATAAATTTTTTTTTAAATAGAAGAGCACAATTTTATTGAGTAAAATAAATAAAAGATACAAGCCAAAATGAAACAATTGAGTAGATCAACAAAGCCAAATGCTGAAACATTAAGGAAACTGAAAAACTTCTGACAAAATTTTTAAGAAAAAATGGAGGTACAAGTAAAATTAGAAATGAAATGAAAACATAACTCTAAATTTAATACAGGTTGAGCATCATTAAAATAATATGTACAACCTTGTGCCAATAAATTTAAAATTTTGAGTTACCAGGCTGACTCAAGAAGAAATAGGAAACCCCAAAACGATAATAACAAAGTTTTAAAAATAAATGGCCCATGATCTATCAGCAATACAGACATTAGGCTCAGATGAGTATAAAGACAAATTTTAGCAAAATTTGTTATAAACAGCTAAATAGAGTAAGGATATGGGTGTGTACAACTAGAGTGAGAAAGTTGAAAGAGACAGAACACAGATATCTGAATCCTGGGGAACACTAACCATTTAATAAAGGGTTGGCAATAAGAGTTCAAACCCCCTATAATCATCCCACTTCCTTACCCCCAAGGTTGGAAACCACTGATTGATAAAATACCCTTTCTTTCTAATCCTATGATAACCTCAGAATCTTTCAACTGTGTATTTTAGGCAAGCCCTACCAATTGGTCAATGGTGTAAAAATACATTTGCCATCTAGCATTTAAGGGTTTGATGGAAAAGAAGATCTGAAGCAGAATAAAACACTCAGAATGTATAGCGTAATAAAAATCAAGGTGATAAATTTCTTGAAAGAGAAAATGGTCAATATTGAAGGTGGACGAGACAACCAGGAAGATGAGGAAAAAGTGTTCAATGGATTTGATACTTGAGAACATTTCAGGACTTACCAAGAAGAGTTCCAATGCAATAAAGGCAGTTAAACCAATGGGTAATGGACTGAGGAGTGGTTGAAACCAGAATTGAAGAGATTCTGATGATGTGTCTTTGAGGTAGTTAGATATTTAAGATCACAGGAGAGCTATGGAATGGTAGCTAGACTATATTTGCAGGATTCAGAAAAGGTATGTTCTTTTTATTTTATTATGAAAGAAGCTTGACCATGTGCATTCATCCCTACAGTATGCTCTCTGTTATTATTAGGTATATTTTATCAGGTCTAGTTTGGTAATTCTAAGAAGTCGGTCCTGATAGTCACAAATAAGGAGTCCATTCATTAGAAAGAGAACAAAAGACAAAACGGGCTGAATAGGAAAGTCTGCTTGGCTATCTTAGCCTTTTTCTGGAGAGAAGCAGGATCCACAGGTGGGTTCCAGAGGATTCTTGACTAAATGTACCTTAGTTCCCTGAAGACATGGGAAGACTGATAAAGTTGCCGTTTTTTGCAAAGTATGTTTCCTATGGAGCTTTAAGTTTTGTTCCAAAAACATGATAAATATGGACTCTAAATAACACTTAGTTGGTTTAATAAATCAGTGTAATGTGAAAAGGAAATGAAGTTATAAAGAAAACCTTAAGGTGGTGCTAAGCTGAAATATGTCTTGAGAAACTACTGCGTCTAGTTATTTTATATAAAAATATATATATTTCTACATAAGCTTCCCAGATTTTTAGCTCACTGGTAGGAACGTCAACTTTTTTCTTTGAAACATCTCATAATGAATGAAGCATTTTGTTGAGCTTTTATTATTCAAGTCCTATTATTAATTAATATTGATTTGATGTTTTATTTCCAGTGTCGCAGGAATAATCATCCTTACAGCAAACTGAGGAACTGAATTTGGCGTATGGTCAATTTTGTCAACATGGTAAGATCTGATACAGTTTGAATCAAGCTAAAAATAAAAATCGGAATAAACTTTGAGGATAAATCTCTGCTGGGCTCCTCATCTTTAGACAGCCCAAAACACAAAAATTCTCCAAGTAGACTAATTAGCAAAAATCATTGAAAAATTCCCTAAAACTAGTGAACCACAGTTTTGAGTGTTTGGTTTTCTAAGTAAATGCCATTTAATATCTAACTCAGTTTCAAATATTGATCACTAATCACCAAATGTATAAAGTAATGTAAAAATATATGAAAACCCACCATGCATAAATCAAATCCTCTATTTTAAATCACTGTTCCATAACTTGCATAGCAAACAGGCTTTATAGCTGTAATTTACTATCCATGTTTTTACACAGAAATTAGGGGAAATATTTCAGTAAAATACACTGAAATGATTTTGTCTAAAATACAATCAACTGTAACCTTTTTAAAAAGCATCTGTGCATGCTGCACATCTTTCTTATGCTGACCTCTTATAGGTCACCCAACTCCGTTAGCAGGGTGAAGTGGGCCCAAAGGAAGAGACTGTACAGAACAGCTCCTCTACGACAGTGGTCGGTCATTCACCATTTGAAGGATGTTTGACCTGTTGCAGTTTTTTACTATAATGAATATGATTTCTTTAAACATTTGCATACAACTATACATGTAAATGTAAATTTTCACTTATTTTTTGTAAATGACTAAGAAGTGGGAATGCTGGGTCATATGCTACATGTATGCTTCTTTATCTCATTCTCACAAATTTGGCTATGTTTTATTTTTAATTTTCAGTTATTTAAAAAATATTTCTAATATCCCTTATGATTTTCTCTTTGGCTCAGGGGCTATATATGTGTGTTATTTAATTTCCAAGTACTTGGGGATTTTTTTATATATCTTTATGTTATTGATTGCTAATTTTAATTCTATTAGAATTAGATAATACACTTTTCTTGATTTCAATTCTTTTAAATTTGTTGGTTTGTTTTATGTTCCAGAATCTGATGTCACTGATTCTGTGTAATTGAATAATGTTCATGTGTTCTTAAAAAAAAAAAGTATTCTGCTATTGCTGATCAGTTTTCTATAAATAGAAGTCAGCTTATAGTGTTTTTCAGGTGTGTTCCTTAATGATTACCTTTCTACTTTGGCTAACAATTGCTGACATAAGAGTGTTTACATCTCCAAGTATAAGAGTGAATTTTTCTGTCTGTCCTTCCAATGCTATCAGCTATTGCTGCATGCATTTTTGCAGCACCGTAAGTTGATGAAATCTCATTTAGTATTTATTGTCTTCTTGGTGAACTGACCTGTTTTACCATCATTAATGTCTTTATTTTTTAACACTGAAAATATTCTCAACTTCTGGTCTTTATCAAGGGCCAGTGCCAAAGAATGTCCCCCTTCACATTCTTATCTCTTCGTCAGTAGTAACCTGTTCTTCTTTGTTACGCAGTGATTGCGAGCCTAGTAGGAGACCCAGAGCAGCTTCTGTTATCTTGATCTATCCTCAGCCTTGGGAAAGCCCAGCCCATGGGTCTTTGGGTCGATAGTTCTCAATGTTCATGCTACCCCTTCAGTGATAGAAGACCCCAAATGCTCTGGCCTCAGGACAGTCTTCTGCTTCTCTTCCACGGATAGAAGGTTTTTATGTTCCCTTCTTTCATCCACAGTACGTCTTCATGTGGATTCTAGAGGTGTAAGGAAGTTTTCTGAAGTTCATAGAGCAGCTTATGGCTACTGTTCCTCAGGACAGAAGAGTCTGCTGTGTTTTAATGTGCTCCCAAAGCAGCAGTTGCTCTCAGGCTTCAAGCCTGTACCACCAAGGGAGGACACAACCAGTCTCCAGCTCTGAACTCCATCATTCTTATGGGCATCCAGGGGAGAGCCATGGAGGACACTCTGTGCATCAGTGTGACATTTCTTCTGTCTCGGTCTCTGAGAGGGTCCTATACTCTCATTCTACCCCACACTTACCCTTTAGCAATTCCTTAAAAAGGTTTCATGCATTCTTATGGTTTGTAAGACACCCAGCAATTCTTTTTCTCATGCTTTGCCACTGGGGATGTTCTAGTACCATCTCTCCTTGAAGGAGGCTAACTTTCCTTAGATTTCAGCATATTTACCCTGTTACCTCAGCTCTCTTACAGTTTCAAGAAAGAATATGATTTTGTAGATTCTCTGTTTGTCTTTTTCTATTGTTAGAGTAGAAGCAACTTTATTTCCAACTTTGTACATCTTAACCAGAAACACAACTTCCAACTTTAAATCTATGTTTATGGAAATTAAAATCCTCCCCATTACTTTTCTAAATGGTAGGAACAATGTAGAGTAGAACAATTATGTCTCATAGTCACCTCTGTTTTGTCCTGTTTCTTTTCTTTACACCTTTTTGATAAGGATTTTCATAAGTTTATTTGTGACTTGGCTTACACCCTATTTTCCCCATAAGTTCTTTAGTTTTTCTAACAATGATTTCACCTACCAATTTTATTGAGAAATAATTGACATACATCACTATATAAGCTTAAGGCATATAGCAGCATGGTTTGATTTACATATACAGTAAGTTTAGCTAGCATCCATCTTCTCATATGGCTACCATAAAAATAAAAAACAAAAGAACAAAGGGGGAAAATTTTCCTTGTGATGAGGCCTCTTCGAGATTTACTCTCTTAAGAACTTTCCTATATATTATACAGCAATGTTAGCTACAGTCATCATGTTGTACGTGTGTCCCTAGTACTGATGCATCTTATAACTGGAAGAGTGTGCCTATTGACAATGTTTTCCCAAATCTCCCATCCTCACCTACCACCTCTGACAAACGTGTCTGATTTTCTATGTTTTTTTTCTTTTTTTAGATTCCACAGATAAGTGAGATAATACAGTATTTGTTTTTCTCTTTTTGAGTTATTTGACTTAGCATAATTCATTCAAGGTCCATCCATGCTGCTGCAAATGCAAAATTTAATATTTTAATGTCCGAGTAATATTCCATTGCATATATACAATTTATTTATCCATTCATCCGTTGAGGAACACTTTATTGATTTCCATATCTTAGCCTTTGTAAATCATGCTGCTATGAATATGGGGTGCATATCTTTTCTAGTCACTGTTTTCATTGCATTTCATTGGATATAGTCTCAGAAGTAGAACTGCTAGATCATATGGTAGTTCTATTTTTAATTTTTTGATGAATTTCCATACTGCTTTCCATAGTGTCTATGCCAACTTAAAATCCTACCTACAGTACACAAGAGTTCCCTTTTATTCATGTCCAAGACACATGTCTTTGTTATCACGGCCATTCTAACAGGTATGAGGTGATACCTCATTGTGGTTTTAATTTGCTCATTGCTAGTAACTAGTGATCTTGAGCATCTGTTCATGTCTCTGTTCACCTTTTGTATATCTTCTTTAAAGAAATGTCTATTAAAGTTTTTTGCCTATATTTTAATTGGATTGTTTGCTTTTGTGCTGTTAAATTATATGAGTTCTCTATATGCTGTGGATATTAATCCCTTAGAGATATTTTTTTGCTAGCTATATGAGAAGGTGGATGCTAGCTAAACTTACTGTGGTTTACAAATATTTTCCCTTTTCCATAGGTTGTCTTTTCACCTTGTTGATGGTTTCCTCTGCTTTTAGTTTGAGATAGTCCCACTTGGTTATTTTTTATTTTGTTGCTTGTGTTTTAGGTGTCATATAGAAAAATCATTACCAGGACCCATGTCATGGAGATTTGTCCCTATGTTTTCTTCTAAGAGTTTCATGGTCTGAAGTTTCACATTTAGTTTTCAATCCACTTTGAATTGATTTTTGTATGTGGTGTAAGATATGGGTTCAGTTTCATTTCTCTACTTGTGAATATCCAGTTATCCCAACAGCACTTATTGATAAGACTGTCTTTTCTCCATTGAGTGTTCTTAACTCCCTTATCAATATTAGTTCACCATACACGCTTTGGTTTATTTCTGGGTTCTTGATTCTATTTTACTGGTCTTTTTGTCTGTTTATATGCCTTTATCATAGTGTTTTCATGACATTACAGTATAGCTTTTTGTGGTTCCATGTAAATTTTAGGAGTGTTTTTCTACTTTCTTAGAAAATGCCATTGGAATCTTGATAAGGATTGCATTCAACCCACAGATGGCTTTTGGTAGTATTGGCATTTTGGCAATATTAATTATAATAATCCATAAACCAGGATGCCTTTACATTTATTTGAGTTTTTGATTTCTTTCTTCAATGTCTTGCAGTTTTTTCAGTTGGATAGCTGATATAATCTTATGTTAGTTTCAAGTATACAACACAGTGGTTCACCAGTTACCCATATTATTAAATCCTCACCACAATTAGTGCAGTTATTATCTTCCAACATAGAAAGATGTTAAAGAAACATTGACTATATTCTCCAAGCTATATACTACCATCCCTGTGATCAAAGTATATTATGTTTGAGAATTTCAGTGCCTCTTTCTCCCTTTCTCCCTCCCCACCACATATCCCAAACCCTCCCCCATGGTAACCACCAGTCACTTCTCAATGTCTGTGAGTCTGTTGCTATTTTGTTCACTTTGTTTTGTTTTTATATTCCACAAATAAGTGAAGTCATATTTGTCCTTGCCTGGCTTATTTCACTGAGCATAATACCCTCTAGATGCATCGATGTTGTTGCAAATGGCAGGATCTCTCTTTTTTATAGCTAAACAATACTCCATTGTATATATGTACCACTTCTTCTTTGTCCATTCATCTATCAATGGACATTTTGATTGCTTCCATATCTTGGCTATTTAAATAATATGGCAATAAACATAGGGGTGCAAATATCTTTTCAAATCAGAGATTTTGTTTTCTTTGGGTAAATTCCTAGAAGTGGAATTACTGGGGCATATGGTGTTTCTATTTTTAGTTTTTTAAGGAACCTCCATACTGCTTTCCACAGTGACTGCCCTAATTGACATGCCCACCAACAGTGTAGGAGGGGTCCCTTTTTTCCATATCCTTGCCAACGCTTGTTATTTCTTGTCTTTTGGCAAGTGGCCATGCTAATCGGTGTGAGGTGATATCTCATGGTGGTTCGGATTTGCATTTCCCTGATGATTAGTGATATGGAGCATCTCTTCATGTGTCTGTTGGCCATTTGTATTTCTTTGGAAAAATGTCTGCTCGGGTCCTCTGCCCATTTTTTAACCAGGTTATTTGTTTTTTGGTATTGAGTAATATAAGTTCTTTATAAATTTTGGATGTTAACCCCTTAATAGATAAATTATTTATGAATATATTCTCCCAACTGTAGGTTGCCTTTTTGTTTCATTGATGTCCTTTGCTATACAGAAGCTTTTTGGTTTGATATAGACCCCTTGTTCATGTTTTGTTTGGTTTCCCTTGCCTGGGGAGATGTGGCCAGAAAAAAATTGCTCATACATATGTTCAGGAGATTTTTGCCTATGTTCTCATATAAGAGTTTTATGGTTTCATAGCTTGATCTTGGTCTTTAGACCATTTTGAGTTTCCTTTTCTGTATGGAGTTAGATAGTAATCCAGTTTCATTCACTTGCATGTAGCTGTTCAGTACTCCCAAACCCAGATAATGAGTAGACTGTCTTTTTCCCATTGTATATTCATGGCTTCTTTGTCATATATTGACCATGTATGTGTGGGGTTTTTATCTGGGCTCTCTATTATGTTCCATTGATCTATGGGTCTGTTTTTGTGCTGGTACCATACTGTTTTGGTTATGGTAGCTTTGTAATACAGCATAATACCCCAGCTTTGTTTTTCTTTATCAGGATTGCTTTGGTTATTCAGGGTCTTTTATGGTTCCATATGAATTTAGGATTATTTGCTCTAGTTCATTGAAAATGGCATGGTATTTTGATAGGGATTGCATTGAATCTCTAAATTGCTTTGAGCAGGATGGCTATTTTCTCAATATTAGTTCTTCCTATCCCTAAGCATGGGATAGAGTTGCATTTATTTTTATCCTCTTTAATCTCCCATCAGTATCATAGTTTTCAGGATACAGAGGTGAAAGATCTGTACAAAGGGATCTTTCATCCCCCTGGTTAGGTTTATTACTAGGTGTTTTATTCTTTTTGATTCAGTTGTAAATGGAATTGTTCTCCTGATTTATCTTTCCATTAGTTCCTTGTATGTAAGAATACAACAGATTTCTGTGTATTAATTCTGTATCCTGAAACTTTGCTGAATCAGTTGTTATTTCTAATAGTTTTTGGTCAAGTCTTTAGGATTTTCTATATATAGTATCATGTCATCTGCAAATAGTTACAATTTTACTTATTCCTTACCAACTTGGATGCCTTTTATCTCTATATCTTGTCTGATCACCATGCCTAGGACCTCCAGTACTATGTTGAATAAAAGTGGTAAGAGTGGACATTCTTGTCTTGTTCATTTCAGCTTTTTGCAACTGAATATGATGTTAGCTGTGGGTTTGTTCATATTTGGCCTTTATTATGTTGAGGTACATTCCCACTATACCCATTTCTCAAGAGCTTTTATCATGAATGGATATTGAATCTTTTCAAAGGCTTTTCAGCATCTATTGACATGATCATATGGTATTTATCCTTTTTTGTTGTTATTAATGTGGCATACCATATTGATTGATTTACAAACATTGGACCATCTTGTACCCCTGGAGTAATTCCCACTTGGTTATGATAGATGATTCTTTTGATGTATTTTTGAACTTGATTTGCTAATACATTGTTGATAATTTTTGCATCTATGTTCATCAGTGATATTGGTCTATAATTTTCTTTTTCTGTAGTGTCTTTATCTGGTTTTGGTATTAGAGTGATGCTGGCCTCATAGAATGGGTTTGAAGTGTTCCCTCGTCTTCCACTTTTTGGAATACTTTAATAAGGATGGATATTAGCTCTTCTTTAAGTGTTTGGTAGAATTCAGCTAAGAGTAATTTATTCTCCATCTTTTGTTTCTTGGAAGTTTTTTTATTACCAATTCAATTTCATTACTGGTAATTTCATCACTTATTTATTTTAGACATATTCTGCTGCTCAGTGTGTGTAAGATTTATCATAGTTCAAGGGAAATCAGATAACTTTAGTCATCTGTTGACTCAGTTTCTTTATTGATTGTGGCAATTCACCCTGTATTCTGGATAATTCAATTCACCTTGTATTCTGCTTCAATATAACCATTAGTAAAATGAGACCAGCACATGTTGCTTAGGTACCTCATATGTTAAAATTCCTTTTTTTAATGTAAATGAATATAGTAATGATGAAGGTTCCTTTTGCAACTTGACTTCATAAAAAATTTATTTCTCCAGATTTATAAAACCTTGGACATTCATGTGACATTGGTTGGCCTTGAAATGTGGACAAATGGAAATAAAATAGAACTAGATTCAAATATAGAAACTACCCTATTGTGTTTTTCAGCTTGGCAAGAAATGATCCTTAAAAAAAGGAAGAATTTTGATCATGCTCTGTTACTCAGGTATGTAACTGCTGTTTTCCTGCATACATTGGTGGATTCTTAGAAAACAAAACAAAATAAATGTACAACGATCCAAATATTTTTTAAAGCAATTGACTTTTGGCGAGAACATAGGGACAAAATGTTCTATCTAGCTATACAGATAACTTCCAAATGAACTTACTAAATGTTTTACATTGAAGTGTAGTTAATATACAATATATATTGGTTTCAGGTACATAGTGATTTGACAATTGTCTGCATTATTAAATGTTCACCCCAATAAGTGTAGTTAGTATCTGCCAAGCATCTGTCAACATACAAAAACATTAGTCTTTCTTTTTCATAGTGATTAATATCTAGAAAGGAAAAATCTGGTATATTCATATTCCAGGGCATGGTTGAAAATATCATTAGGTAGACCCAGCACTTTTAGAATCCACTTACTGTACCTGACAGCATCCAACATGAACTCACCTCAGTCTTCTATGCTATGCCATTCCTGTATTCCACTTTCTGCGAAAGCAGTTCATTGTCGGACACATTAACCTCAACAAAGTGCACCCATTCAGCGACCACCACTTCAAGAGCATCAGGAGCAGATAATCTGAGAAATGGAACCTGCCACGTCTTTGAAAAAGAGGGGCCATTTTTGTAATTTTTGTTATTTAAAATGCCTAGCACACCACTCAGCCTATGTGGAAATGATAAATAAACATGGAGCTGAACTAATTTCAACTTTGTGTTTCACATAGCGCTGTTATCCTACGAAGTGTTAAATTACGAAAGAACAATTTTGGAGCAATGGAGTCTTTAAGCATCTGTTCTGATGCCCTTAAAGTTAATATACGCATAAGAGTGATGCCCACTCTACCTACCCTACTTCACCTACCTATCATATCAGGTTTTCGCCTAAGGTCTGCAAATACAGCATACAAATGAACTTTCTAGCATTATCTAAATGTTAACTTTCAGTCTGAACTCAGAACAGTGAGGTTTCCAGTCTGAGGTTGGAAGTCCAGCACTTTGGCAGGTTGATGGGAGTGAACCACGCCTCCAAAGTAACATCATTTTTTATTTTCATATCTGGGATGGCCCATAGCACATCTGTCTAAGGGGATAATTGCATCTGGCTTGGGCTCAAATAACCATACACTAGTATGCCTCAAAATTTTAGGGGGAAAAGCAACATATCACCATAATCTTCATAGTAGGCAAGATTAACCCCTTGGTCTACTCTTTGGACTTGTGTTGTAAAATACTTAATGAATTAGTCTAGGAATATTTAAATGGGAATAAGTGGAAAATCTTTCACTTCTGCGAATGTCTTTTCCTCTGAGCAGTAGTTTCTTACACCAATAGTATGTCTTCAAATAGGGAAAGTGGGAGGAAACTGCATCAAATGTCTAATGGGACATCATATTTGGGATTTCTCATATGCTGAGTTTCTTGTATGTCTTCCCATCTATATTCACATAGCTCCAGTAATGATGGGACATTATATGTATTCTCATGGTGTGATTTGGGGCTTTAAGTGAACGTGAGTAGAGTCAGAATCCAAACTTTGCTTCTGGTACTTCACGCCACAGGCTGTGTTTCCCCAAGATCTCCAGAGTCTAGGAAGACCAGAATTCCAAGTTCCTCCAAGATGCATAATCAAATCCTGAGACTTTAAGGTGTAGGACAGGAACATTTCAATAATAAAGAAACAGAGCATATCTCGTTGATCAAAATAGTAAAGACTAAAAGGTACTCTCTAGCCTGACCACTTTACTGAACTTGAATGCTCTCTGACGTACCACAGATGTGTTTCTCCAGCGCACAACAGCCCTCGTAAAAGTGGTCCAACTCTTGAAAGCACATCAATTTTGGATCCCTTTAATGCACACATCTATTTCTGTCTTTTTAGAAAATCCAGGCATAGTTCTGTTTTCACAAAACAAGTCTTTATTTAAATGTTTGATTATGGCTGTCAAATCCACTATGAGTTTCTATGGTGGCTTAATTTTTATTTTTCTCAGATTTTTCAACCACAGCTAGTTAATTATGGTACTGAGTCCATTCAGTATGTTGCATTTTCCCCTCTGAACACTTTTTTAATTTAATGTTTTTTGGTCTTTTAAGTAGTTTTATCCAAAGCTGAATGTAGGGCAAAGTCAAGTAAAATGAGATTCTAACCTTTTTCTTAGAAAGTTTTTTTTTATGATTTCAACTTAAGATTTTATTGACTTGTCAATGCTTCTAATAGACCACAGGTTTAAAATGAGATTAATACTAAGGTCATCCTCAATACCAGAACTCTAGAAAAAAGAAAAGGTACTTTTATGTGCAAGGGCATTAGCCTTGTGGGGATTCGCTGCAATTTAATCTTTGGGCTAATTAAACTACTTCCTCAGATTGAAGAATGTATTTGCTTCTTGTTTATAGTGGGAAGTGGCTCTGCACACACGCCCAAGGAACTTCTTATCCAGGGGGTATATGCCTGCCCTATTATTCCTCCAGTATTCTTAAGGTGGGATATGTTTTATTTTTATTGCTTAATAAAAAACTTTGAATTGTATTTCCATAATTGTCTGTGTCCTATTGAAAGAGACCATGTATGCATTCTGTCATATATTCCTACAAAAACATATGTTAAAACTGTCATGCTTCCTTTATTAAATAGAGAAATAAATGTTTTATAATAACTGTAGATGAATAATGAAGGTAAACCAGTGTTATTTAGAGTTTAAAGAATATCCTGTACAGATCAACCTACAAATACAATAATGTCCTTTTGCATATTGTAGTTATTTATAAGGACATGTAAAGTACACAAAACTTGATGGTTGATGTAGCGAGGATAATTTTTCTTGAACTGAAAAGAAAGTGCACGAACTATTTAAAATAAGCATATCAAGACAGCCTTGACATTCATCTTCAGAAAACATAAGACCTTCAGGCTTCTGACTCCCCTCGTTTAGCTGATCCTCTCCCAAGTCACTAAGCTTCTAGTAAATGATGTCTAAGTAACCCTATCTAAGACATTCTTGAGAACATCGATATTTGGATTTATTTCCTTTAATGTCTCTGCCTATTTGTTGCTATGCTCAACCCAGTCTAGTTAAGACCCTGAAATTAAAAGCTAGTATTTATTAAAATGGCTACATGACCTATTTATTATATAGTTTTTTTATGATTATTCCTTTGCCTATGGTATTTTAATAACATGTATTTTGTATAATAAAGAGACTAATCTAATATAGGCTGTCACCACTCCAGTTATGATATTATAACACACCCTGGACACATTTTAAACTTCCAATGAGTAAGATAAAATTACCAAATTAGGGGTATTTTACCTATATGGCAACCTGTTATTATCCCACCCTCTTCAGAAATTGTTTTGTTGTCACTAACATAAAGATTAAAACATGAAATAGAGCTACAGAGTTAACAATCAACTCTGCCTTGGATTTTACATCACTGACCTTCTTATATAACATTGTTGTGCAATGTGAGACTGTACACTGAAAACATAAACCTTGCATATTTTTATTTTTACCCTCTTTGAATATTCAGTATATAGAAAACAATCAATTATGTTTATTTTATTGCATAGGACGTTAGTTAATAATTTTTTATCTATTTGCAAGAATGAGTCTCTATAAATCTATCAATGACTATAAGAGTGGCAGGAAAAAGAATTCAAAACGCTAGTCAGAGACATCTAAAAGGTCATTTATGCAACCTCACTGTATAATTAAAGAAACTGAGGGGCAGGAGAGGGATGGAACTAAGTCCACGGCCTCTCAGGTGAGTACTAGTTAACCAGACACAGGTCTCAACTACTAGCTCAAAGCACTAGGTAGTACACTGCTCTCTTACAGACATGTCTAATGCACATATTTTTTGGCATCAGGATCTTTTACCTGACCTAATTGTAATTGCAAGCAGACTGGCACATCAGCTGGGGCATAACCTTGGGATGAAGCATGATGAATATCCGTGTGTTTGTACTTTGGAAAAATGCACAATGAATAGTGATGGAAGGTGAGGCTCAAACAGTACAGAGAATACATTTAAATATTTTAGAAATGACTTTTGATTAAAACTCCATATTGTAGGGATATATTGTGATTATGTGGAAATCTTCCTAATATACTCCAGAAGGTTTATTCCAAAATCAGGCATGGTAAGAAGTTTGCTTTTGGGGATAAATCTTATCAGTTCATAGTGTTTCTCCTAGTGACATGATGACAGAATTTCTAAAACCCCACCTGAACATATTGTAAAAGTACACGATGATCAATTAATAATTACATCACGGTGCTATAGAGAGGAAAACATTCTTTATGCCTTGTTTTATCGGCTTTGTTATATGCTATAATTTCCTCTCTCTCAAATTTTTACTCCAGTGTCACTCTCAGCAAAGCCTTCCCCAGCCACCTGACCCAGTTTTTCCATTCTGTCCTGTCATCCACATACCCTGGTATTATCTGCTCCCCCTTTCCTTTTTTTAATCCTCCTTACCACCGATCACTATCCAATAAAGTCTGTGTTTCACAAAGGTAGCTTGTGTATTATTTTATTCCACCAATACATTATAAACTTCATGAGGTCAGAGGATTTTGTCTGTTTGTTGGTTGCGATACCACCGATCAAAATAGTAGGAACACCATAAATAGTTACAGAAGGAAAGAACGTCCGGCATTCCCCATCCCACTGTGAATTACTTGCTGTCAGGTCCTAAGTCTTACCATCTTTAAACTCCTTCGCAGGGGGATACATGGCGCACTGCATATAGTAAGAGGTGTTTGTTCATGATCAGTGTATATATAGAGAGAGACACACCTATGTATGTTGACTAAGTAAAGTAAAATAACTAAAGCCCAAGCACAGTGACTGGCATAGAGTAAGAACTCAGTAACTGATAACTAATGTTATGTCATTATCGACATAACCAGGAATATTTTTTTCAGGGTCTCACTATCCCAATGCAGTGGTTTCAAAACTCTTAAAGTCCATCTGTATCCAGTCATTGTGTCAGTAACAATGGAAAAGGAGTCAGAACAAAAGGAAGATGGAAGGGAGGCAAATTTCAGTTTTTTTTATATTTTAAACTTTTTTTTAGAAGTTTATTGCATTCCTAGGACATGTGAAGATATCATTCAATAAATAGTTTTTTTCAACAAATGTTGATAGAGAACTATTCTGTACCAAGCACTGTGTTAACTGGTGCTTATTAAAAGAAAATTGAACATGGTACAGAGCCTGCACTGAGAAACTGGTAACATTGAATAATGATAAACAAATACATAGATTATTTCAAGAGTAACCAATAAAATGTGATACAGGAGCAGCAAGGAGAGACAATCAGTCTAAATGGTGGGCTTCAGAAATTTCTAGAGGATATATAGTCAGAGTATTTTCGCTAAAATAGCCTGTGTTGGCTGTGTTTCAATGAGATATTTGCTGTAATTAAGAGGTCAGTTACTACTTTGCTAGAACAGTGAGGCCAAATTAGGAGAAGCAAATGGACTTTAGGAGTTCAGCATTTATATTCATTCTTTCTAAATTCTTGAGAAAACTCTCACAGCTGTCCTACCACTGTGCATTAATATGATTAATCTTCATTCTGAACCCATCTTATCTCTAGCATTCCTGCACTAAAATTCAGTAAATGCAATAGAGACCAGTACTTGCAACACCTGAAGGACTATAAGCCAACATGCGTGTTCAATGTTCCATTTTCTGATGAGTTAAATGATTCCCCATATTGTGGAAACAAGAAGTTGGATGAAGGAGAAGAGTGTGATTGTGGCCTGCTCAGGTATTTGCAGATAATGCTATTGCTAAATTGGAACGTTTTTGGTCAACTAGAACCTACGTGGGGATGTAACCATTAGTCAACTATGGCATTCCATGCAAAGCTTTAAAAACTGTGATTTTATTTTCCTTATTTGGTGCAGCCGCATTGCAAGGCTTCTTGCAAAGTCGGGAATCATGTGTAATCAATCATCTTGCTCAAGGTCCACAGTACTACATTTGCCTGGTTCACATACTAATTAGCTCTTCTTGCAAGAAGGACCCATAGGTGTCATTATATCTATTCTCAAATCACAGAAGGAATCTGTTCTAACAGAATTCCTCCCAGTTAGTCAATGGAGCTTTTCTCAGAGCTTTATGAGACTAGCCTATATCCCATGTAGGCAGTTCATGTTATTAGAAAACTCTGTCTTAATTGTGCAGAAACTTTCTAACCTTTCACATTTTTATTGCAGTCTTGGTCTCTGGAACATTTAGAATAAGCCTTTGAGGCAAATTTTAGAGTAATTCTTAATCTGCTTTTCTCCAACATAGAAGCTATTTCTCTTAAGAGCTCATCCTGTAGGTATGAATCCAAACTACTTCTCAAATTATCAAGTACAGAAAATCACCTGGGGATTCTGACTCGTGGGTCGTGGGGTGGGCTGCGACCCTTCATTCTCTCCAACCTGCAAGGCTGTGTCGATGCTCCTGGTCCTCGGTGAACACTTCTGGGATCAACACTCTAGACGCTGCACCATTCAATGAACGTCTAACAGGCTGGCAGTGAAGAGAGTCCATGATCAGAAAGGGGATGATGGCATGTCCAGAGGCCACCACATCTAGTTTTCAAATGTCCCAGCTTAAATGTGAAGACGTTATTAACTCTTGAAATTGATGCTTTTGCCCGTGTGCATTCTTTGGGATGGTTCTATAGTTTCATTCTAACACATGAAGTACCTTACAGGACAGGATGCAGACAGTTTTTTTTGGCAATTTTCAATTTGTTTGAGCAGATAGGTCTTAAGTATTCATCCTGCTGTTATTATTTAATGATTATTAAACAAAAAGGTCTATCTGAAATACTTAGCATCTTGAGAAAAATGTAAAGTCAGATCTTCAGAAGTTGTATTTTCTCACATTGAACCTTTAGTATAGAAAGGCAGGCAGACCTTCCCAGAGAATGGAAGTCTTCAGGGGACTAGAAGGTTACGAACTGGACTTTGCATGTTGCCAGTGAGAATTCATTTGCTGTGAAGTGCTGAACAGCCACAGGGGAGGAAGCAAAGTAAAAGTCCCAAATACCAGTTTCAAGCAACTATCTTTGTGTACAGATCAGAGCCAAGGACCATGGCTTTAACTTTGGAAGACAAGTAATGCTGAGTCATGCAGAATCATAACAAATTAACTCTTCAAACAGGAGCCAAACTACAGACCAATTTTTGATGCTTAATTTTTTTAATTGCCAGGAATGCACTAACCCTTGCTGTGATGCAAACACATGTTTGCTGAAGCCAGGATTTACTTGTACAGAAGGAGAGTGCTGTGAATCTTGTCAGGTAAGCTCCTTTGCTAGGACTGCATTTCTCTGTTTTCAATTTAAGTGTTAAGTAGGACCAAAGAGTTGTCTTATCACTGAACAACCCTACACCGCTAGTCCCAGGTTAGGGCTAGGCTTCCTTGTGCCTAGTCCAGGCTCTTCTGAGATGCTCTGACTTCTAAGCGCTGAGCAGTGCTGTGGTCTGGAATGTGGGGAAGCAGGTAAGCAGTGCTTGGTCTTTTGGGAATGAAAGTATATGACTAACATTATTTGCATTCCTTTGTAAATCATTACTAACCTATTTAACCTCAGTTAAGAGGAAAACTGACATCCCAACAGTGAACTAAAAGGGAAAAGGATTACACTGGAATTGGAACGTGATAGCGTGTAGTACGTGGAAATACATTCCTAGGAAAGATAACCGGAAATCCAAATGGTTCTGTCCAAGGGTTTATGGACACTTCTTTCATCCTATGAGATGGTGAACTCACAAAGGAAAGGAAACATGTCTTACTCTTCATCAAATCTCTCTAAAACTCAGAAATGCATCACAATTAGATGCATATGGAATGGCTGAATGAGAGAATGTCAGCAATGAAAGCTGGAGTATTTCTCTACTTCATCTGGAAAGATCTGAGTTCTTGGGAGTGGAGACTCCTCATCATAGATAAGCAAGTGTTCCAGTTTTCAGAGGGTGGAAGGCAGAAGGAAGGAATGACCTGGAGGCAGGGATGAAGAAGAGAAGGTGAACAGAGCACTTGCTCATTTCTCCATTTCATGTCCATTCTAACTCTGTCCAATGCTCTTCTAATACTGAATTTCAAAAACACAGTCTTGTCGTTCCTAAAATCGTATAAAAGCCGAGGCATTTATGAATGATAATACTCAGTGGAATGGAGAAGGAAGTCATGATCCATTCTTAACCTTTTTTAGATAAATTGAGTGGGTCACCCTTCCTCTTACTGAATTCTATCTGTGTCCAAGATCAGTCTGTTTGCTTTTCTCCAACAGATGAAAGAAGCAGGGTCCATACGCAGACCGGCACATGATGAATGTGACTTTCCTGAACTGTGTACAGGCCACACTTGTGGCTGCCCTAAAGACCAATTCCAAGTAAATGGATTTCCTTGCAAGAATGCAGAAGGCTATTGCTTCTTGGGGAAATGTCCCACCCGGGATGGCCAGTGCTCTGAATTATTTGATGATGGTGAGAGCCAATTGTAATGAATGCTTGATAGAGTCACCATTAGTCTTGTTATTATCCTGTAAGAATTTGGGGCCAAAATGGAAGATAATGCCATTTGTAGCATTCTTCCAAGATATTACCTTTCAAGATATGACAAATATCTCTGGGTATTTCCTTCAATATTTATAGATATTACCTCTAATATTAATTGACTAGCTTAGGATGTAGGTGAAGGTACATGTATTACTTTTTTATATCCATACTTCTTCCTAAAATATCCTCCTGAGACAACAAGATAGTTTAAAAAACTATCCCATTCTGCTCCACCACTACATGATACTGAAATGTTTAATTACATTAGAAAAATAAGGTGTTTTCTGATTCATAATATTCATGTTCTCATTGTTTTACTTTTATCATCCCATTTTGGGTCCCAGAGGCAAAAGATGGTCCTGAGATCTGCTACAAGATGAATACAAGGGGAAATAAGTCTGGATACCACAAAAACAAGGAAAGCAGATTGAGTCCCTGTGAAGAGAAGTAAGTGCCTTGTAAGAGTGTTTTGCAACGTCAGACTATCGCTTGTTCTGACAGCTGCTGACCTCTTTCTGTTGAGGAGAGTAGGATGAGAAGGAACATTCCAGATAGTGTTAAATGGCATTTAGTTACTGTATTTATCAGCTAAAGGTCATGGAATATAAAGAGGAAGCTGGGAAAGATGGAAGATTCTTAGGAAAGGAAATAGCTAGAGAAGCTACGAAAAAGGGAGAACAGAGCAAATAAGAGGAGGGGGGAAATAAGTAAAAAAGGAGAAAAAAAGCTGAAAGAAAAAGAAGTGAAGTCAGGAAAAGAAAGGTGAAAGTTGAAATTGGAAGGAAGAATGGAAGAATTAAACTCTGAATCTGACTTTGAAAAGCATGAGCTGAGCCATACTTCCAGGTCTGTGACTGACATTCGCAAGGCTTGTGAGTGCCACAAAACAGGATCTCGAGGGAAACCATCATTAACAAAATCCCTGCAATCAAGTCAACTTTGTTCCTGAATGCTCGGTGAAAATGGGCAGTCACCTAACTTCCCGCACTCCACTTGCTGCCTAACCTACACAAAGGGGGTGAAAATAATAGCAACCTCCTAGGTACGTTGTGAAAATCAACTGATGTGCTCTGTGCAAGAAAGAACAGGAACGGAATCTTACTGTCCTGATGGAAGTTATGCTAATGCAAATTACTGTTAAGAGATATTATTCTGTAAACTTGAGCTAATATTGATTTGTGAGAATCACAGAGTTATCATGAAGAAATGTGGTCATTTTGCTTCTTTGCCTACTCATCTCCGTTCCCAGGGTCAGGATTTTGTCCAGCATGTTACCCTCCCTCCGCTGGCCTCTCTGCAGCCTGCTCACAAGCCCGGGTCTAGAAAAAAGTGACCAGGCCTCTTTACTGCCAGCCCAGTCTCTAAAGTTCTATTTCTTTGTCCTGATTTTGAGAATATTCTCCCTCTCCTTCAGAGACGCCAAATGTAGAAAGATACACCACACCGGAGGGCAACACTCCCCTCTCCTTGGAGAAGAAAAAACTTATCATTTTAAGACGGCTCCAAAGCAAAATGACACTACTGAACGCAAAACCTTGTTTTTATACCACAATTCTAAAGATTGAGATTTTGGCCTGGTTGCTGCTGGAACAAAATGTGGAGATGGAATGGTAAGGTGAAAGCCCTTTGTTTTATTAAAACTTTTGGTTTCACCACGTTGAAACATCATTAAATTCTGTAATTGGTTCCAGAGGGCCTATATATGGGAAAGCAGAAAAAATTTGGCAGGCTTTTTTTTTTAATTGAGCGAAGTAGCGGTAACACCATAATAAATATTCATTTTGCCTCATCTTTGTTATTCAAAATGATATGTAAAGGTTACAGATGTATGTAATTATTAAAGATAGACATCTAATTGTAGACATCATGTTTAAAATTAATTTAACTATGAAGTCACTTTATTTTATTCATTCAGCCATATTTACTGGGACATACTATGATGCCAGTCACCATGCTGGGCACAGATGCTGTAAAGATGACTGTACTTGAGAATTTGATAATAGACTAGTTTAAATATGTTGTTATAATCCAACACAAGTGCTTTCCTAGTGTGGTGACGCATGTGTGTCTGAGTCCGAAGGAAGAGCAGCTGACCTCACTTAAAGAACATGGAATGGTATCTTATAATTCCATTAAAAGAGTGACATTTCAGCGTTGATTTGATGAACAATATATTTAATGCACAGAAAATGAGAAAAAATCTTTTCAGAAAGACATGCCCATATAATATGCAAAGCGTCTGTCACAGGTGACTGACAATTTCAGTGTGACTGGAACTTTGGGATGTTCCAAAAATATGAAGCTAATCAGGTGTAATGTGGCCAGATTGGAGAGGGTTTATCATTCTAAGAGAAACATTTTAGAATGTATAATGAAAACAACAGCCAGCTCATCAAGGTTTGTAAGCACAACAATAAAAGGAAAGCATGTAATAAGACTTTATAACAAATCAACTCTGTTGAAATTGAATAGTTTCTCCCTGTGATATGGCTTCCTCTCCTCTGTATCACCACCCACAGAGATTACAGTGTCATCCATATAATGTGCTTGGGAAATAAATTGGAAGACAAAAATACAGAATGTACAGAAAGGAATTATAATTTAATAGAGACCTGTATTTCAAGTCTTGAAAATGACAGAATGCCTTGGATTCAAATATTTTAATTTAAACTGAATCAATGTTAACAAAATAACATATAGCTTTCAACTTAGAAAAAGGTAGTTGCAGAAAATGTGATAAATATAAAAATGGTAAGTTAAAATATCTAATATTATAAATCACATAATAAAATGAAGGAAGCTGATGTGTCACACTTATCACAATAAATATGAATGAATCTAAAATTTCCCTATTTAAATTTTAAGACCATCTTTAATTGGTGGCAAAGAAGAATTTTCAGGGAGTAACATCAGCAAGATAATAGAATAGGAGGTGCCCCGTTCACATTGCCCGACAGCAACAATAATATTGCAGCCATCCATGGGAAAATGCCTTTATGGGAATGTTGACATCCAGATAGAGGCATACAAAACATACATGCATAAAGCATGTATCAATTAAGCAGAAAGGAAAAATACAACACTACACTAATAGTATGAGACTCTGATACTCTATTTCAACATCTAAACAGAAAATCCAAAAAGGAAACAGCAGGCTTGAATAACCTATAGACTAAACGGATCTAATAGATAGGTACAGAATATTCCATCCAGTGACAGCTGAATATACATTCTTCTCAAGTGCACTTGTAATATTCTCTAGGATAGGTCCTATTGTGGCCACAAAGCAAATATTGTGGGCCACAAAACAAATCTTAACAAAAACTCTCCACAAAATAGGTATGAAAGGAGTGTAACTTAACAGAATAAAGCCACGTATGGCAAACCCACAGCTAACATCATACTCACTGGTGAGAGATTGAAAACTTTTCTTCCAAGGTCAGTAACAGGAAAAGTGTACCAACTCTCACCACTTTTTTTTGACATAGTACTAGAAGTCAGAGTCAGAGCAACTAGTCAAGAAAAGGAAATAAAAGACATCAGCTCAGAAAGGAAGAAGTAAATAGTCACTGTTTGCAGATGATATGATTTTACACATAGAAAACCCAAAAGGCCTTCAAAAGAATTTTTTACAACTAATAAATTAATTCAGAAAAGTTGTATGATAGAAAATAAGCACACAAAAATCAGTTCTGTTTCTGTACACTATAAGCAAACTACCCAAAAATAAATAAATAAATAACTCCATATACAATAGCTTCAAAAATAATAAAATACTTAGTCATCAATTTAACCAAAACATGAAAGAGCCACACACTAACAATTATGACTTTGATGAAAGAAATCGCAGAGGACACAAATAAATTGAAAGATATCCTGTGTTCATGAACTGGAAAAATTAATATTGTTATAAAATCCATACTACCCAAAGTGATCTACATATTCAATGTAATTCCTATCAAAATCTCAATGATATTCTTTGCAAAAATGGGAAAAACAACCCTAAAATGTGTATGGTCCACAAAAGATTGAGAATAGCCAAAGCAATCTTGAGCTAAAAAGAACAAGGATGGAGGTCTCACACTTCCTTATTTCAGGCTATGTTACAAAGCAATAGTAAACAAAACAATATGGTGTTGGCATTAAAAAATAGACATATAGACCAATGGAACAGATAGAAATAAACTCATATATATATAGTCAACTAATCTTTGACAAGGGCACCAAGAATACACAATGAAGAAAAGATAGTCTCTTAAAAAACAGTGTTGAGAATACTGGAAATACACATGCCACATAAGGAAATTGGGCCCTTTTCTTACACCATGGACAAAATTGACTCAAAATGGATTAAAGACTTAAATGTAAGGTATAAAACAGTAAAATACCTGAAAGAAAACATAAGGAAATAATCTCCTTGACATTGGTCTTTGCAATGACTTTTTTGTTATGTCACACCAAAAGCACAGGCAAAGAAGCAAACATAAATAAATAGGACCAAATGAAATTAAAACATTTTTTCACAGCAAATAAAACAATCAACAGAATGATAGGCAACCTATGAAAGGAAGAAAATATTTGTAAACCATGTATCTTATAAAGGGTTAATATATAAAAGTTATAAGTAACTCAAACAACTCAATGTTATATATATTTTTGATATATATGTATATTGTGATACATGTATGATGTATATGTTATATATGTCATGTATCACATATATATAATGGAATCTAATATATACAATATATAATGTGTATTATTTAACCTTAAAAAAACAAGGAAATACTGTCTTTGTGACAACACAGATGAACTTGCTGGGCATTTCATTTATGCTGATAAGTCAGACACAGAAAGACAAATACTGTATGATCTCACTTATATATGGAGTCTAAAAGTCAGAGTCATTTAAGAAAAAAAAAGCATTGAATGATAGTTGTTAGGGGATGAGGGGTGAGGGAAATGGAGATGATGTTAATATCAAAGGTACAAACTTCGTTATAAGATGGGTATGTTCTGGGGATCTAATGTAGAGCTTAGTGACTATCATTAATAATACCGTAATATATACTTGGAATTTGCTGAGAGAGTAGATTATAAGTGTTCTCACCACACATACACACACACATAAAAGTATTTGAGGTGATGGATATGTTAATTAGGTTGTTGTGATAATCATTTCACAATGTCTATCAATTATCACAAAATACACTTTAAATATGTACAATTTTTATTTTTCAATTATGCCTCAATGGAGTTGGAAAATAATTTCTAGACAAGTGCTCTTTTTATGGAATTTAAAAAAACAGTTAAAATTAAGCAAATGGGCTAAAAAAAGCCAGGCAATAACCATAAACAACAAAAACAACAATAATTTGGGTCATAAAATTTACAAAAATGACAAGCACAATTTAAAACAAAGGTACCAAGCATAAAGAAGATTAATTGATATTAACAAAATGCCCAGCCAGCAACTGTGATAAAATAAGCATAGATCCTTATCAAGCCAAAAGAAAATCTGATAGAAATCATAGAATTATTGCAGACACAAGTGTAGACTCTTTGATAGGTTAACATTTGAAGAATTAATAAAGGCATAGACATTTTAATAATTAATGAATTTATATGTAAGTATTTTTGTAGCACAGTAAATTAATTTCAAATGTCCATTGAGTATTCACTGAGGATTTCTTCTTCCACAGAAGATTCTACATGTGGTTTTTCACAATTGAAAAATCATGTAAATTCTAAAAGCAAGCCATTCTAATTCATGTTGGTTACTTCATTTCTACGTGTGCAGCGATGGTGAATGTGTGAATATGGAAAAGATCTACAATTTAACCAATTGCTCCTTTCAGTGCAATGAAAATGCTGTAAGATTTGGTTCCCTTTTACATTAATATCTTACCAGTCACTTATTTACCAAAGACTTCATTTCCTGAGCCTGTGTGTATGTGTGTGTGATTTGGGGGGAGGGGGAAATGGTGATTTTTAAAACAAATAAACATTTGGGATCCATTTTTTCATGTAGTATCACTAAAATTGATCTAAATATTCCAACCAGGTATTATACACAGATATTGCCATCATTGCAAGTATACATTTTATCACTCACTGGGTAATCCAGAAACTCAGTAATTTATATACATATGAATTTCAAACATAAAATTTAAAGTTGGATTTATTATAATGTCACTTGTAGTATGTCAACACTAGTCTAAAGCGTTTGAGAAAACAACAAAAAATGATTTTTTTACTCAATTAACACCATTCAATACTAGCAGTTTACATTTATGTGTAACATCTTTCCTAAGACCAGTGAATCAGTAACACTATATAAAGTTGAATGTGTCAAGTACTTTTTCGAGTACTTTACATTTATGCTACATTTTTTTTATTTTGGTATCATTAATCTACAATTACAGAAAGAACATTATGTTAACTAGGTTCCCCCCTTCACCAAGTCCCCCCCACATACCCCTTACAGTCACTGTCCATCTGCATAGTAAGATGCTGTAAAATCACTACTTGTCTTCTCTGTGTTGTGCAGCCCTCCCCGTGCCCCCCACGCACTCTACATGCTAATCGTAATGCCCTCTTTCTTTTTCCTTATGCTACATTTTAAAGTCTTTATGACAACCTTAAAAGGTGGGTACTCTTCCTGTGACCCCTTTTACAGATGGAGACTGGCTCACATCGCTTTGTGAAAGGAAAAACTGAGCTTAAACACAAGAGCATATGTATTACATAGAACTCTTTGATGAACTAAACACTTTTTTCTCATATTAATATTATCGCATTATTACTAAGCCTAGTTACAGTCTGCTTTTTGGCTATGATCTGTCCAGCTCTAGCAGGGGCTGTTCATTTAATAGTATCGATGCCTTCTTGAAAGATGAATCAAGCGGTCATGTTCATCTGGTTTTGAATTTGTTAGAACCATTCTTTTGTTCAAAAGCTATCTTCAAAGGTGATTGTACTTTTTTTGCTAATAACATGGATTTTTGTATGCAGTTCAGTTAATCAGTAAAAGGTGTATGTGTGTATAAGTGTGTATGTGTGTGTTTGATGTAGAAATAGCACTAAGCCAGTGAGGTGCACAACACAGCTTATGTCAGTCATTTAACAAAATTATATGATGAACTGCTCTTCCAGGAGGATGGCCATGACCTTGAGTGCCAATGTGAGGAAGAGCGGGTACCCATGGGCTTGGAAGAAACCTTAAATGTTACCAGTGAGTATTCTCAAATACAGTGTCTTGCATATATCAAAAGCCTAGCCAGGGAGAAAGTTTTTTTTATTTTCTCAGTCCACTACATATACGTTGTGTTTCCATATGGATTTGTATGGGCTTTTTATCATTTTGCATATTTAAATACAAAATTTTAATTTAATAAATAGCTCTTTAGAATTAATGAATCATCTTGTAGTTAAATTTGGGTTAGTTCTTCTATGAATCCATAACACAAGGTCTTTTCCATAGTCAGTAAAAAATTGACAATCAGAACTTTTTCTGCTGATTATGGTTCCCTTAACCATAAAGGAATCTTGGGTGGAGTGTCAATTGTTAACACAGAAGATAATTTGTATACTGTTTTGGTCTTTTGTTTTATATAAAATAATTAGGGGGCGGGGATATTAAAGCCCTTTCAGGAAAGGAGAAGCAGGATTGTAACAGTTAAGTGTTAATATTCCAACTGTCCTAAAATTAATGTCCTGGCTGAACCTCATGTATTTTAATGTTGCAGATAATTCCATCCTGGTTGTTGTGCTTGTCCTGGTTATTATAGGGGTTGGTGTTATCATGTTATTAATTCGTTACCAAAAATGTGTTAAGTTGAAGCAGGTTCAGAGATATGCGTGTATTTTCTGTGTTTAAGGGGATCATTACTAAGACTGTACAAGCTTTGTGGCCATAGATGGCGCTTGATGGGGGAGGAGTATAAGCCTCTTGCTGAAGACCAAGTGAGAGGAGCAGTAAATCGAACTTTTAACATACTTTGGTCTCATCCAAATGCTTACCCAATGGTTGTCAAACTTTGTTGCACTCTGGAATCACAGTGGATTTTCCCAAAAAGTACTAATTTTGGTTCTTCCCTCAGACTTAATTGTTATAAGGAATAACGTGAATATCAGCCTTTTGAAAATCTTCTAGGTGATTTAACATTAACAACAGGCTTATCTCATAGCTTGTGTCCCTATTCAGTTTCCTTCTTGACAGCCCGCCTAGAGATACACAGGGAATAGAGAATAAATCATACTTTGGTGATGAGCAGCAGACAAGGACTGAACCAATATTACCTGATATTCATCCCTTACACGTAAGAAATTTTCATTTGCAATAATTAATCCATCAATTAAAAAAGTAACACGTGTTTGAAGTGGAACTAAGCCTTAAGCTAAGTGAGGTCGGAGACGCAGAACAGTTTAACACGATTCCACACCAGTGAAGTCTTCAATCTACATGTGGGAAAGGAGAGGATAGCAGGACTCAAGTAAACCAAGACACTATTTCGTAACAGAATATAATATATTAGTTCAATAAATACTGATTTGTGTACTATTGGAAAAATTTACAAATATAAAATACATCCTGAAACATAAACCAAGTCTTAATAAACTTAAGAGAATTAGGGTCTTACACAATTTGTTCTCAAAAATAAAATTCTATTAGAACTCAGTAACAGAAAGCTATTGGGAAAATTCCCAATTGGAAATTAGATAACAAATTCCAAGGAAATCATGAGTCAAAGGAAAAAACAGAAAGTATTTTATACTAAAAGGAAATGAAACAACATAAAAAAATTCGTGGGAAGCAGTGAAATCAGTAATCAAAAGAAAATGTATAGCTCTAAATGCTTATGTTAGAAAAAAGAAATGTATCTGATCAGTAACTTCAGCTTTCACTTTAAGAAACTAGAAAAAGGAAAGCAAGTGAAACTCAGTATAAGCAGAGGGCAGGAAAAAAATAATTCAACTGATCACTGGTGAAATAGAAAAGAAACAAATAACTGTGAGAGCTAAAGCTGTTCTTTAAAAGAGATTAAAAAGTGTTATAAATCTCTAGCCAGACTGGTCAGAAAAAGGTAAGAGAGTCGGCACAGACTTTCAGGAAAGGTAACATCATAGATTATATATTTATGAAATATACAATTGAATATTATGAAAAAAACATTATATATATATATATATATATATTTAACAGTATCATTTAATAGGAAACCTTTTGAAAGTTACAAATCACCAAAGCTTACACATGAAGAAATAGATACCTTGAATAGCTCTGTATCTAATAAAGAAACTGAATTTGTAGTAAAAGCATTTCCACAAAGAAAACACTATACCCACATAGCCTTATTGATGAATTCTACCAAACATTTAATGATCAAATAATACCAAAACCAATTCTATAGTAACTCTCCCATAAGCTGGGAGCAAACAGATATTTCTAACTCATTTTATAAGTAAAATATTCCTCTGTTCCCTACCCATATAATGTTAAATCATTACAACAAAGAAAACTATTTGCCAATACTTCTAATAAATATACATGCATAAATTATTATTAAACTTTAGCCAATTGAATCTTATAATACATAAAAAGTAAAATGCATTGTGACCATGGGGGTTTATCCCATGCAAATTTAACATTGAAAAAAAAATCAATCAAGCTAATTCACTGTATTATCACACTAAAAGAGAAAAATCATAGGATCATCTCAATAGATGGAAAAAAAAACTTGAAAAAAACTGATATCTATTTCTGATAAAATTCAATAAACTAGGAATAGAAGGGAATTTTCTGAACCTGACAAAAGTATCTATCCAAAAACTTACAGTTAATATGATATTGACAGGTAAAGAAACTAAATGCTTTTCCTCTTCTATCAGGAAAAAAGCAATACTACCATTTATGTTAACTATTTTACTTGATGACATGCTTAGGGATAATATCTGTCAAAAGATACAAGGCCTATACATAGGAAACTAAAACAATGATGAGAAAAACTAAAGAAGGCCAACAGAAATGGTGTGAAATACATGTTTATGAAGTCAGAAGATTCACAAATTTTGGATTTTCAATTCTCCCCAAACAGATCTATAAATTCAAAACAATCCTTATCAAATGTCAGCAGGATTTTTTATAAAAGATGTACATGAACTTAGTGAAGATACAGGTTACAAGAACAATAAACAAAAACTATTTATATTCCCATATACTAGCAACAGTGTGGATATGATACAGAATATAATTTGAAATAGCACCCAAAATGTGAAATATTTAGGAATAAAACTAACAAAATATGAACCAGAACTATTCATGGAAAATGGTAATACATTGCTGAGAAAAAGTTTAAAAGACCTAAATAAATGCAGGTATATAAACCCCATAGTTATGGCCAATTACGTTTTACAAAAATGCAAAGACAATTTAGTGGAGAAAGAACAGTCTTTTCAAAATGATGATAAGGCAACTAAATATCCATACGTGCAAAGATGAGCTTCAAATCATAGACAAAATTAACTCAAACTGCAATAGAGACAAAAATGTATGTATCTTTTCTTATAAAAATTAAAAATCACCATTCCTTGAATCTTAGGCAAAATTAACTCAAACTGCAACTTGGACAAAAATATATATATCTTTTCCTCATAAAAAATTAAAATAAAAAAAATGTGCAAGATTAAACTATAGTGTTGAAAGTTAAATATTTGGGAGTAAAGGTTTAATGACAGCAAGAAACAGTCATTATTTTCAGCCAATAATGTGGCCAATTTGGGGAGTGGGGAAATAAGTAGGTGGCAGTTTTATTTCCTAACCAAGGCCGTAATTACAAAGATTTTTACCTTAAATGGTTCATTAAGCCATCAATCTGTTCTGTGTGCATTTTTTAACTGTATTTAACTGTATTGTATCTCTCTGTTAAATGATTCAAAGTAAATAATGAGCAATGATACAAATTACTAGTGGGGATACTCGCAGTAAAATTCTCATACACAGTTAATGAGTGTTTAAATGGGACAATCATTAGGGAAAATTGTCACTATTTATTAAAACTGATTGTACACATGCCCCATGACCCAGCAATTTCTGTCATATGAATACACCAAAAACATGTAATACGTGGGCACTGGAAAACATTTACAACATCGTTCCAACAGTATAGCTTGCAAAATGTGGAAACCATACAAATCAGTTAGAAGGGAGGCACAAATTGCTACATATACATCCATGGAAACACTACAGAGAAAGAATAGTAAGTGAACTACTGATCTCTACAGCAACATGCATAAATCTCCCAAACGTAGTGTTAAGCAAGATGCCGATTCTGAAAGCGAGCTGTACAACTCACTTTATGTTTGAAGCACTAGCCAAGCTAATCTCTGGTGTTAGAAGTCAGGGTAGCAGTTACCACGCAGAAGGGAACATCTTCAGAATGGGAGATAAAATTTTATTTTTTGATCTATGCGGGAGTTGGTTACACACATGGATATACTCATGAAAATTCATCTACCTGTACACTGAATACTTGTGCATTTCTTTGTGTATATTTTACACTAGGGGAAAATGTATATTAAAATTATAGCCTTAGTAATGTCTGAGGACCTAATAAAAAACTGACAATAGTACAGAAATTCCTGCAAGTAGTGGTTTGTTTAGTGCCCTCTACAGCAGCTGTGATTTCCAATACATTCAGCTCACTGAAAAAACTGGGCTTGCAGATAGGAAACTACAAAGGCATTCCCTCTGAAAGGACATGAAGTGTTGGAGAAAGCATTCTTGATAGGACTGTCCCAGGCAAACTGCCCAGGAGGACGTAAGTCTTGAAGGAGGGAATGAATATACATCTTCGATGTTGAGGCTAAGTATCAACCAACCATTGTTAGCTGCAAATGCCAATGGAAATATCATGGTTCTAGTATTTTTAAATGTAGATTTATTTGGGTAGTGGTGGTCTGGTTACACAGCTCCAGAAGTTTTCAATGCTTTGCCCCAACTTGCCGTGTCCCGTGGGACAAGTCTCCATGCCCCCTGTGCATGGAGTAATATCATTAACTGCACAATATTGCAGAAAATACCCCCAACTTTTCCCCAAGAACAGATATATGACATTAATAGCAGAAATGTTTCTACTGAATTCACCTGAGTATGTAGGGATGGATAGTTAATCTTTCTTTGGTTATGTGATGGTTGATCATCTTTTCCCACTTGCACCTTTTCTTAGGTCAGTGGTGACCCACGATGATAAAAACGAGTCTCAATTGTCCACTCAAACGGATGGAAGATATTATGCAATAACTTTTTAAAGCTTACACTGAGCTTTGGTGATACAAGACCACGTGAGGCTAATATCAATCTTGTATATTTGACTTGAGGTTTAACTAAGAAACTGGATGTAAATGTACTTAGCACAGTGTTAGGCACAATATGCAAAGAGCACTGCATACATGTTACTGTGCCTCCTGTGCTGGTGCAGTTACTTTCCTACTTGCATTAACATCCGACGTGGACGAACAGAGAACACTTTAAAGAGGGTAACCTTAGCCAAGCATATTTTATTATAACAGTAAATTGCAAAAACCTGAAAGATCTTCAGGGTCCAAAGGGATGTGGCTGATTGTGGAATTTCAGGCATTCAGACAATTAAAGATACAAAGATTTGGAAGCTAACACACTTGCCTTGTGCCATTCATATCATAACATAAACAGAAACTCCCATTCTTCTCGTAAGTATATTTGCTTTAGGGCTTTACAGATGAACTCTTAGACCCATCCATTCCAAGGGAATCCCAGGGATTCATAGCAAAGAATATTGTGTCCATGTGTTTCAATATTTATATATTTCCTAGAACTGTTTTCTAGAGAAGGCTGGAAATTTTATTTTTTGGGCTTGGGGAATATCCATACTTGCTTGAATATTAATTGCAGGTTAATAGTATCTCTCTTCGCTAGGGAAAACCTTCAGAGTGCTTGGAGACACTTCCAACTAGTTTTTCAAGTCCGCATTACATCACGCTGGTACAGTCGCCTGCCTCCTTTCTGTGGGTTGTGTTAATCTGTGTCCATTTCAATAATAACTTTGATGCCACTGAACCATTCATTGGTTCCTTGAAAAAGTCCAATAATGCAACATGCTTCTCTGATTTGAGACACTTCCTCCCTCTCAGCAGGGCTGGGTTGAGGGTGAGGGTCCAGTGAGTCGTGCAAGGGCACGGTCAGACACAGCCTTTGTTTGTTAAAAATAGTGACATTGTCACCACAAATTCTTGGGGATTAGTTTTTATTTTTTAGAACAATGCATTGATATGTTATTTATCAGGATTACTGAGTTGTTTGCCCCTTAAATGATGCTTAGATGAATGCCTCACTCACTTCACCCTTGACCTGGCCTTGGTCCCAAGGGTCTGAACCCAGGGATGGCTTCCAGCCAGGCCTCAGTCAGCCTGAGGGTTTTCCATGACTGCAGAGGCGTATTCCCTGATCAACAGTGCTGAGAGAGAAACAAATGAGCCACATTAGCCCACACCTGGATTAGAGACTGAGTAGAAGAGAGAGTTCAGGATCTCCAGGAGCACCCGAATTGCTAGCATCTCTGCATCTGCACGTGTATCACACTATAGAGCACCCCTTATTCAGAATTGGGTGCTGAAATTACCAAGATTCTCAACTATATGTTTGAAAACCAGCAATTCTCAGAATGCTTCATATGAATGACTAGAAGGGTGTGATTCAGATTATTGTCGGTTTGTGTTCCACATAATCTTCCCATCACACAAAAGGGGCTCGGAATGTTCTGGATGGTCAGGGTAGAGCCAAAAGAGCTTATCTTCCCATGACCCTTCAACCAATACAGTCCATTTTTATAAACCAGTTTGATTGGGATTTAAATAGTGATATTTTTGTAAGAAATTCCTAACTCTTGGAAAATGTTTGGAAATCTCTTATAAAAACATATTGCTGGAGAGATTCAGAACAAGGTTTACAAGAAAAAATGGTTCCTGGTAATACTTAAGCAGGAGTGTTTCCCATCCCCATCCTATAGCAATTTACAAACGGTCTTAGATTTTTCATGGATCAAGAAGAGGTGGTCTGTGTGCATGTTCTCATGTGTGTGTGTGTGTGTGTCTATGGGTCACATCGGGTGTGGTCCCTGACACAACAAAATTTCTTTATTATAGAAACCTTCAAGTAAAGACCCCAGAGGAATCACAGATCCCAATGAAAATGACAAAGCGGTAGGTTCTCATGACACAAGGTACCACCGTTTGTTAATTTTTCAAAAGCCGGCATCCTTATGTGTTCTGTACCTACTCATTGACTGAGGGCATCCACTGTTGTTGAAATCATTTTCTCTGATGCGCTACAATTCCTAGCAGACAATTCAGCAGAGCGGGTTGCAGTCTAAGAGTGTTCAACTTGATCCAAAGAGCAAGCTAGGGTTGAACAGTGTCAGAGTCTCAATGCATTTGAGAAATAGCAACAACACTTGCATTGGCCAAAGGATCCACACCCATGGGTTCTCAGGAAGGATTTCAAAGGATAGAATAGAACTGGTGGTGATCCCAGAGAAGGTACCATTCCTCATGGAGCACATGTTTCATGATTGTTTTACCAAACTTTTCACTTACCAAATCAATAGCTGACTATATCTGAGGGATGATTTCACTTTTGAATTACTATGTCCATGTTAGAAAACTTACCAAATGTGAGTTTTGTCAAAGGGAGACAAAAATGGCATTGTTTGGCCATTTTTCAGAGTTTTCATTTTCAGTGCTTCATTGATTTTTGTCGAGCTCTTACAAAGCGCTTCCCTGCACAAAGCGTTCTTACAAGAGAGCCTGCCCTATACTTTTCTCTTTGGGCATGAAAAAGGAGGGGCGTTTCTAATGGTCTTTCCACCCCATGACGATGAACCTGTCTCATACAACAGGGAAGAGAGAGACACTTGTCAGTGCAAGCAAACTGTGTGGCCCCCTGTAATGAAAAACAAATGATTTTTTTCTTTTGTGATAGGCCTATTCATTTTATAACTGCTTTTTAATTGGCCACAGCTAAGGAGATATGGAAAAACGTGAGCAAATGCAGTACAACAGAACCCAGAAAGGTTATTGCAATTAATAAATATAAGCGAACAACTGAAATACAACATGTTTATAGATTTTACAGAGAACAGATTATCTTTAACCATCTATTTCTATTTTTGAACTTGAAATTGGAGACCCAAAATGGCCGTGCAAGGCTAAGTTGAAGATTCTGGATATGAGATCATCACAACCTTTCTTAGCTATTTGCTACAGAAATTTCTGGTAGTTTTTCAAGCACTGTTTATCCAGACAGAAAATGTTGAAGAGTAATAACTTCTTTCTATAATATTTACCTGTAGAATTCACAATCTGTAGTGTGAAATGTAGGCGAACACACACACACACACACACACACACAGATTCCTACTGCTTTTCAAATGTTCTATAGCTAAATAGAAAAATAAAGTCTACTTGCTCAAGTGTTTTCCTACAAAATACACATCTGGTTACTTCAAAAAGAGTCAAAGCCTTAAGGATAGTAAATTACAACCCTGAGAGTCTAAGCAAAACACTGCTTATAAAAGTTATTTCTTTGGGGGCATACTACTACTTACCTTAATTTGAATGGGATTTACCAATTACCACTAATTCCTATTGAAATGAAATTCTTTCCTACAGCAAGGCATCTGATTCCACTGGTTAAATAAAAAAATAGACAGCTGGCTTGCTCATTTTCTGTCAATGAAGGAGTCAGAGGAATAGTTACCCTCACCCCAGAATAATTCGTAAGGTTGTGATGGCATCATGAAATGCTCTTGGTAATTCCGAATATCTAGAATTTATTTCTAAATTCCTAAATTTCTAGAATTCCTTAAACCTGATAGAGAAGTCAGAGGATGACAAAAACTTCAGAAAGTTAACTCCAGCTGAGAAGAAGTACAATTCCCATGAAGATCTGTGAGATCTTTGTCATACATGGAGTTGTGCAATGACTATGCAATTTCAGTGTCACCTCCACCCTGTCAGGTGATGACGTGCAGAGCTGTCCTGGGGGTGATTTCAGTGATTTCTTATATCAATGTTTCTCCCTGTGTTCCCTTGTGTTCTTTATTTTCTTTATGTTAACCTTTGAAGCTACATGAAATCACTTCTTCATTTACTGAGATTAAGTTTCCAAGCGCTAGGCGCAAATTTTCTGATTTAATAAAGGCCGCACATCAAGAAAGCAAGCTGGCTGTTCTTGTGGGAATTTTTGTTGCTAGGCTGACTAGGCGATGAGAGGACAGAGGCAGAGCATCAAGACACCAGTGATTCAGCACTTTATGCCTAGTGAGCTTCAATAAGCATTTGTTGTTCTAATGAAAACCATCCCTTTACCAAATAGTGTTCATAAATGTGTACTCAAAGCAAAAGAGGCTAGTTTAAATATTTATGTAAATTTGTGAAAAAAAAGAGAAATTACAGATCATATATACTACCCTCATTAAAGCAAACAGTAACCCTTTGATGTCCAAAATGAAGGGACAGTTACATATTTGTATTTACCAGAACAATACATATGTTGATGAACAATATACATTTTGGTGATATTTTATTCTTCCTCTAAAAAGATTGCCCTCTTGGTTTGTTATTTTTCTTAGTGTTCCCCATCTCTTCCAGAAAACTTACCATCAGCTCTGCCTTAGGGTCCACATTCAACTAAGGACTATTTTCTAGGGATTTTTTTCCCCAATTTCTTCTCTTTCTCCAATTATAAACATCGTGGTCACTCCCTAAGTCCTTCTGCTTTATTGCTTCCTGCCTGGAAAATCACTCCTGACTTCTAGTCTGCTTCCCTGTTCTTCGCATAACCCCAAGAGCCTTGCGACAACTAAGTCCCTTTTTTATTTCAGGTGGTGACTCCATGCTTGCCCATACTTCTCACCCTCGGCCCTCGAGACTCCACCTACACCCCTTTCCAATGCGGCCATTCTCTGCTGCATTGGTAGGGATTCTTCTGCCCAATGCTTCCACAGATGAGAAGGCCTCTTCACAGCGTGTTCCTACCGGTCCCCTTGTAGAGGAACCCCGTTCTCTCCCTGGTTACGGAGTCAGTTGTGACTTGTGGCCCTAATACTTCTGACCCTTGTCACCTGCGGGGATTTAAATCCTTTCCCTAGAACACAGGAAAGTCCTCCTGTTGTGAATGGATAGACCTACAGTCTGGCTTCCATACTGGCTACCTCAATGCTACCGAGCCAGGAACAGCAAGCATATTTTTACATGAGTTCTCCCGGAAATACAGTGATTGTGATCTAAAATAAAACAAAGCAAAACCAGCAATCCCAGTACAGCTTTCTCAAACATCAACCGGTTCCACATAGCCATTTTGCCTTTTTGTTAAGGCATCTGTGCTGCCAAAACATTATGGAATTAAAAAATGCACATTGGATGTGCTAAAACTGGGAAGCCACATTCTGAAGAACGGTAGTCACTTTCTTATTCAGCTACAAATGTGTGGCAGGATCACCCCACAAACCATCATGAAGTTCCTAGAATGACCACCAGGTGGCCACAGAGCAAACAAATCTGCTGGTTGAATTCATCCCTTTGTCAGACAACGTGAGACCCTCAAAAACCCTGACTTGAAATACACCTGCTAAGACATTTTGTGAAACTCCATTCCCAGTTATTAAAGATGTAGCTTTGACCACTTCCTTCTCTACCAGGGTCGTGGGCTGAGGTAGAAATACAGGGACCATGCCCTAAACAGAAAAAGAGCCTGAAAGCTTTGAATGGAGATTTTAAATCGAAAACATAAACTCTATTTACTCTCTGTTTTGAAGTCCAGTCATCTGGAAATTGATGTGTCAAAAGCCCCAAATAGTCCAATATCCTGAAAACTACTGTGGATGTTTTTTACTAGTTTTTATTTGTATTTATTTATGTATTTATAAAGCCAGCAAATTAGCCACTGATTCTATGGAAACCTGAAGAGTCCCCCTTTCCCCAGGGACACATAACGGGTAGTATCTCTCAGGAAAAGCAGCAGCCTGTTTGACTTACATGACTTTGTGGTGGACCGTGGACAACTGATGTATCCCTACGAATCATCAGCAAGGAGTGAGAAATATTGATTAAACTTCTAAGTTTATTGAAGCTTCCTGATCACTTTCAAACTGAAGGTCAGGCTTTTAGGAAAATCAGGAGCTGTTATGTAGGGAAATGGCTATCTCCTGCCTTGACAGAATCCATTAGCATCTTTCTCCAGGAAAAGCTGCAATCATGAGCTATATGTAATGGATATTGATTGCCATGAAAAGAAGACGTGTATAACTTTAAACCTCAGGGGTCTCCAGGGACAAAAGATATTGAAAAAGGAGCCTTTAGGATCGCAGGAGTACAAGCCGGGAAGAAATTGTACCAGAGTTGTCTTAGAGAATGTTAGACAAGTGGATTCAAAAGCCAGTGCCTCTTGCTCAAGGATACCAGTGATTTGCTACAAGGAGAGCAAATACAGCATTTATTGAGTATGCCATCCGGCATTGTTCTAATGAATGAATGTTCATATGAATTATTTCATTTATCTTAAAACAACTTATAAGTTAACTACTATTATCTTCATTTTACATTTGAAAAAATTGAGGTCAAGAGTCAAATGATTTGCCAAAAGAGAGATAGCTGATTAAATAGGATATCAACCCAGGAAGTCTACCCCCAAAGAGTATGTTTTCAATCGCTACCATTGCTGCTGGTGTAAATACAGTTTTGATAGGAAAAACGCACAGGCCTGTGGACCATTCAGACCTGTGTAATTGTGACTTTGACATGTCTCACTCCCATTCACATTTTCCACCCACCAGACTTCCCAGCCACCACGGCCCCAGTACCCAGGATGCACGGGTTTATACAGCAAAAAAGGAAAAGGGAAGCCAGGCAGCAGTCAGCTCCCTGTTCAGCCAGACCCTGGCTGAGGCGCTGCCGGCCACAGCAGAGCTGTGCTTAGGGGAAGCACCTGAAATTTCACCACCTTTTTGCTCCCCTGGCCACTCCCTAGGGGGTGCTTGTGATCCAGGAATTTTTAATGTGTTTTACAACTGTCTCAGGTTCTGGGAAACGCTTTCTCAACAGAACTGGGCTCCACCTGGGGGATGTTTTGCTGTGTTTAGCGTGCCTGGGAAAGCTGTCTGTGGCTGCCTCCACCATCTGTGTGCAGGGAAGGAAACCCGACAAAATCATTCACACTTGACAACAGCCAGTAGCTGGGGGGAAGGCAGGAGTCAATGAGGAGGCAGAGCCCTCTGCTGTGCCCTCTCCCCTGCTTCGGTAGCATGAAGAGTGTACCAGGGGGGTCGCCTTTAACACATAAGGAAAGAGAGAGTGTCTGCACTGCCCCTTTCAAACTCAGGCACCTGCTACACCTTCACACATTTCTCATCAGATGCCTGCTAAAAGCTCCGGGGCCAGTTTTACTTTACAGACGAGGAATTGGGATAAGAAGCTCCAGACATGCAGCTTGGCCGTGGTAGAGCAGAAATCTGAACCTACACCTCACATCAAAGCCAGGGCCTGTACTGGTACCCACTCCAGCTTTGAGGTCTGTCATGCACTAATGTGACAATGGCATTACAGGTGGCCACCGAGTGACCAGAGAGTTTATTCCTGGGAAAGGTGGCTTTTCCTCAGAGAGGGGCTGGCCAGCAAAGTGGCCTGGGTTTCTTCCATAAAGCAGCAGGGTATCAATTTCAGGGGCTCATCTTCATGTTTTCAAAGTAATGAGCAGATGGAAGAAAATGTTCAAAGTCTGTTATTGTTCTGATAGGACTGCACAGAGACATCAATGGATAAGCAACTACAGGTGACTTTAGACAAATCCTCCAGCATTTAAAATCATTCTCATTCCATATTTAAAGTGTTCCTTTCTCTTGCATCAGCCTCTTGATATTCAAATGCATGTTGATGACCCAAGGATGCTGACATTTATAAGAAAAAAACAAACAAACCCTAAAATTCTGACCCAGGGGCATGCCTCCTCAGATCCACCGGGAAAGGAACTGGATATCAATTTGATCTCAGCAATGTGTCTGATGCTCTCTCTGAAGAAGGACATTGTTTAAGATTCTTTTCTAATTCCTCTTTAGGCTGTGAGGGAAAGAAGAAATAATCTCCAAAATAGCACATGGAGTAAATTTGATGCCTCAATATTGAGGCGCTTCTAAGCAATTCATAAAAGAAATAAATCAGTTCCTTCCATCTTGTTACTACTGTGTAGATAGTTTGACAGGTTCCTATGCTGCAAATATCTCCAGCTGGACACTGTGCCGGCCAATATCCCACCTTCAGAAATGAACTCTCAGGCACAAGCGCAAACTAATGTCCTGCTCCTGCCCAATTCCCTCGGATCTTCAAGTGAGAGAACATTCAGGAAGAAGATTATAGTATGACAGGGCCACACAACATCATTTCTGGGGTCACAGAACAACCAAAGCTATAATCTTTTTCATGAGGACCGCCAGAGACTCTTCTAAAGGCAAACAAGAAAAAGCTAGTAACATAGACCAATAATACTTGTAGATTTCAGAGGGAAAAAATGGCATAAAAATAACAGAACAAATAACAAATATGGATCGCTACCAGTTAGGTTCCGCTTGCTTAATATCCATTTACTCCATCATCCAGCATGTGCTTTGTATACTTGCTGTATTTGAGGTATTGTCCTGGGTGCATGAAGATATAGAGATGCATAGAGCCCCACCTGAGGACTCTCCTCATGGAAAAGTAAACAGGCTGCTCAATGGATGGTCATAAAATAATGAAATGAATGACACAAAGGAGGAAGTGGTGTGATTGCCCAGGGGAAGGAAGGGAGGTAGATATAGTTTGGTAGAATGGAGAAGCCTTCAGAGAGGCAATTTTTTTTCTGAGATCTTAACAAATCTACAAAGGTTTGCCAAGCAGAGAATTAGAATTCCAGGGAGAATCACATGAGTCCAGGGTCTGACAGGTCCATTCATAGTGAAGAGTTAGGATAGCTGAATTATAGGGTATGCAGGAAGGTGTGATGTGACATGAAGGTAGGCTGTCTGGGGTATTCTATGCTGTGCTTATTTAAATGCGATGGGGCTTACTAAAGGATTCAAATGAGAGTGACATGATCAAACTTGTGTTTGAGAGAGAAAAAGACAGTCATAATTATGATGGGTGAATTAGAGAGAAACCACTGGACTTTCCATATCAGAAGATGCCAAACTTCACGGAATCCAGGGATGGTAGAAA